CTAAGAAGTCTAGAGAAATCTACTGGCGGAAATGGGTCTTATAGATTGATGAGAAGAACATACCATTCATGTAATGGAGAAATATAATCATTGCAAACACTGGTTCAAAGTGAATTGGCATCGTCTTGGATAGATTAAGTTCCCTACTGATGATGGCAAAGAAAAAACTACAAACTTTTCCAGTTCTGAAAGCTAAGTCCTCTGTTTTTGTAGAGAAATGGTGAAATCTGTACATCTGTGAAGGCAGAACCAAGGGTAAGATAGGGGGTGGAGAAGAAAATTGTTCTTCCCAGGATGTGAGGACGACTGGGAGAGATCTGTGGTTATTAGGGCTCCAGAGAAAAGAGAGAGAGGAGTGGAGAGGCAAGAGCAGTTGTAAACAATGCAGTGGTTGTTTACATCCTCAAACCTCAGACTCTCAAAAACCCTGTGTATGCAAATGCATTTTTTTTTTTTTTTTGGTCACACCACACAGCATGTAGGATCTTAGTTCCCTGACCAGGAATTGAACCTACACTCCTTGCATTGGAAGCACAGAGTCTTAGCCACTGGACTGCAGGGAATTCCCCTATTTTTGTAGTTGGTGGTTGGTTGGTTGTTCTTTGTTGTTGTATTTCTTGATTTGGCTGGGTTAGGTGTCGGTTGCCCCAGGGCGTGTTCTAAGGCACGTATATCTCAGCATGTAAAATCAGGGTAGGACATTTGGCGTTTTGCAACAGTTCATTCCGCTAATAATAAAAACTGAATGACGCTTATAGTCCAACGGGAGATGAGGTGAAGGGCTGGGCTTCCTCAGGACGCGGTAAACCCGGCGCCTGATGGGAGCCCTCCGGTCCCGCACACACGCTCTGCGCGCCTCCACCTGCTCTAGCGAAGAAGCCACATTCTTTCCTGGCTTCTTTCGCTCTTATTTTTAGCTGGCTCTTAATTTTTTTTAAATAATGTTATTTATGTATTTATTTTTGGCTGTGCTGGGTCTGTGTTGCTGTGCGCAGGTTTTTCTCTGGCTGTTGCCAGGGGGCGCTTACTCTTCCTTGCAGCGCCCTGGGCTTCTCATGCTGGTGGCTTCTCTTGCAGAGCACGGGGCTCTAGGTGGGCGGGCTTCCGTGGTCGTGGCGGGCTTCCGTGGTCGTGGCGGGCTTCGGTGGTCGTGGCGGGCTTCCGTGGTCGTGGCGGGCTTCCGTGGTCGTGGTGGGCTTCTGTGGTCATGGCGGGCTTCCGTAGTCGTGGTGGGCTTCTGTGGTCGTGGCGGGCTTCCGTAGTTGCAGCTCCCCAGCTCCAGAGCACCAGCTCAGTAGTGGTGGTACACATGATAATTTCAGCATCACAAATGTTGAGTTTCACGTGTTCTGGGATATGGAGATGGAAGTGTCCAGCTGGTATTCAGACATATGGGTCTGAACTAAAAACAGAGGAGTCTGTGCAACAGATTGGTGGATCTGGGGAGTCTCCAAATGGTAGGTGGTGACTGACATGGATTAAGAATAAATTCTTGTCAGGACGTTGAGATGGAGAAGTACAGTGTCAGGAAGGGGAGAGGGGAACCATAAAAATACAGAGGGCATTGCATATTCAGAGAATAATTAGAAGTCGTGTATGGATGTAGGCACGAGAAGACTCTTGAGAGAGTCCCTTGGACAGGAAGGAAATCAAACCAGCCAATCCCAAAGGAAATCAACCCTGAGTGTTCCTTGGTGGGACTGATGCTGAAGCTGAAGCTCCAACACTTTGGCCACCTGATGCAAACAGCTGACTCATTAGAAAAGACCCTGATGCTGAGAAAGATTGAGGGCAGGAGAAGAGGGGTGACAGAGGATGAGATGGTTGGATGGTATCACCGACTCGATGGACATGAGTGTGAGCAAACTCTAGGAGATTGTGAAGGACAGGGAAGCCTGGCGTGCTGCAATCCATGGGGTCGCAAAGAGTCAGACATGACTTAGTGACTGAACAATAGCAATGGAGGTGGCTTGGGATGGAGCTTGGGATAAAGGTGGAGGAAGGAAAGGGGAGGAACAGAAGGACAAGACAGAGGAAGGAAATGTCGGGACAGATTTTGTGCCGGGAGCCAACACACGAGACCCTACCCATGACAAGGTCATGAGGGAGAAAGCCTGACAGGCAAGGCGGATCAGGTTTTCAGGGATTTCGAAAAGCTGCCCCCGGCGCTCACCTTAAAGATGATATCTGTCTTTCTGATGCCTGCCTCAATAGACTACTCCCTAATTTCTGTGACACAGGCAGAAGGCCTTCCCTGATATCTTCCCAAATAAGAATCAATTTAGAACTTTAATCAATAAGTTTCCCGGGTGGTGGTATTTTATGAGATTATCCCGGGTGAAAGGAGTGTTTTAATTTAAACTCCTTTGCTGGTAGTTTGTTAGCCAAATGCATTTATGCCCTTGGTACTAATATGCATGATTGCTTATAATATCCTAATCATAAAATAGCATAAAGAACCTGATTATATAAAAGCCCTAATAGACATAGAGCCTTTTTGAGGGGTGAAGGAGTCCTATTAGAAAACATAAGAAAAATTATTCTAAAGGTGGTTACTGAGTTGACGTTTGCTTGCTGTCTTTTGCTTGCTGTCTTTTGCTTGCTGTGTTTTTGCTTTTAATGTGCCAAGGTTGTGTGATAGAAACCATTGTTAATATAGTTAAAGATTGAGAGAAATAAGAACTTAGCCCTAGTGTGGTAACAATGAGATGGTTGTTAATTGTCAGCCAGGAGTGCTAGGCAGAGGCTGCCTCACCAAAGTCGCAGAGTCAGTGTGGGGTAAACTTCTTAGATAAACACAACTGACAACTTCTGCAGAAGGATTAATTTTTGTGTTAACAAGGTTATACTTCTACTCTGTACTGTTGCCCTATGAGATGGCTACCTTTCAGTTAAGGTCACCATAGAAATGGAAAATAGGTTTACATTCACCTGACTTGCATAAAATGTTAATAGGCCCCAAGGCCAGAAGATAATGTACAAGACCCTCATAAACAAAGAAGTATGCAGGAAACACCCTGGTTTCATGAAAGACAAGCTGATGTAATGTTAAATTATCTTCCCCTTAGAAACATACTAACTTAGGGTATAAAAGCTACGGTAAAAAATAAAACATTGCCAGACTCTGCTGCACCCCCTGTCTGGTCTCTCTCTCTCTTTTTCTCTCTCTCCCTCGCAGACTTGGCCCTATCAAGGCTGGTCTCAAGTGTCTTTTCTCTCTGTCTCTCTCGCCGATGCCGTTCATCCTGAGGGTACCCCCTGGATCCTGCCGAGGCTGGACCCCAGCAATTTTGCACGGTCTTGATGGCTCTCCCTGGCAGTAGGACTGCCCAGATGAAGTGTAAGACCTGAGAATCCTAGTTTTGTCCTGCAGCTCAAGCCAAGTAGGGTAGGCCTCTGCAACATCTGACCCCTGAGGTCCTGCTTTCTCCAACTGACCCAGTATCTTCACCCAGCCCACTCTAGGGGCTACCTATACCTCTACCTCCATGAAGTAGAGAAAAGGCAACTCATTCATTCCTTCATGGAGGGAAAAAAAAGTATTGGGGTGGCCGAAAACTTCATTCTGGTTTTTCCATAATAGCTTATGGAAAACCCAAGTTAACTTTTTGGCCAACCCAGTATTAAACACCTATTGTCTGTCAGCATGCTCTCAGGTAGCAAGGACACAACAGTGATCAAGACAGACTGAAACACCACTTTCATGGAGCTTAAAGTCTAATGGGAGAGAAGAGCATTCAATAATTATAAGAGTGACAAATAAATCTATTCTAGATCCAGCATTCCGTGGTATATGTAATGAAGGGTCCAAGAAAGGTGAGCAAAGAAGAGGGAGGAGATGGGAGCTGGGAGATCTCTGCCACCAGTTGTGTCTGTAGCCCTCCAGGCTCCTCTGTCCATGGGATTCTCCAGGCAAGAATACTAGAGTGGGTTGCTATGCCCTCCTCCAAGGGATCTTCCCAACCCAGGGATCGAACTCACGTCTCTTACATCTCCTGCATTGACAGGTGGGTTCTTTACCACTAGCACCACCTGGGAGGCCCCGTCTTCCAAAAGTTCCAGCATAATACCAGGTAGATGCTTCGCTGTACCCATTTTCTCAGCAGTCACAGCTCAAGGCTGTAGATCCCTTTTCCATATCCATATCAGGTACATTCTCCTGTCACCCATCTGAGTTTGCCATCTGTTTCCTGCCAAAACCATGATTGATATGGACCTTTATGAAAAGATGATTTACAGAAGTGAACAGGGTTAAGGAAACAACAACAGAAATAAAGTTGGGGCATCCAGGTTTAGCGACAGTAAGAAATCGTCATCCTTCCTAGGCCTGAGACATGGAGGGGAAGGAAGCCATGCTACTGTAGCCTGGTAGAGAACGGGAGCCACGAGGAGAGACACCAACAGAAACAGCCCTGTCAAGGTGCAGCCAGCATCAGAACCGTGGCAGGAAGGCAACAGGAGGGACAAATACTTCAGTCTCGTTCCGTGTGTGTGAGTTCCCTTCTCCAGTCTTCCCCTGGCTAAACACAATCTGAGGCCAAAGCCACCAGCCTTCAGGTGATCAGCTCAATAGAGATCAGCCTTCTGAGGCCCCCGACCGAAATAAAAGGGCTGATCCAGAGAACAACAACAACAACAAAAAACAACAGCTAATCACACCTCATGGTCATGAACACTTTAAAAAGAGAGTAGATGGCTTTTAAATTTTATTACATAGAGTATATGTTATTTTGGCAACTTGATTTTTTAAAGAAAAGGCAGAGAGTCACAGTAAAGTGCCAGGCACGGGGCCTATCAGCCCTCACAGTATGGTTTGCTGGGGGTTGCCAGAGCGTCAACATGCACCTGATCAGCACAGCCCATTGTGAGGAATCACGGATTGTTTCTGAGGTTCTAGAATTCCCAGACTCTGTGGCTCGGCACTGGAAGCCTCTTCTCACAGTTTTTCTTCACTGCTCTTGGGCGCCCCACACCAGGGGCCCCTCTTGCCCAAAATCCAGATGAATTTCCTTCTACTAGTGAGTCTGTGTTTCCTCGGATCTGCCAGAGGTGAGTCCTGTCTCTTGGCTCTAGGTGGACATGGAGAGGCCTCTTTAAGGCCCTTGAAGACGGAAGACCAGCATCTTAGTTACCCAGACCAATCTGACTCGGAAGTAGGAGTTGGCTGAACAGTTCAGCCAACTCTGAGAGTTGCTGAATCGGTTGATTCCTCCTAGTCAATGGCTTCACCATCAGAGACTAGCTTGGCACAGTCTCATTCCTAATGCTTTCAGCCACTCGACGTTGTATCTGATGCTCTGTGAAATGAGAAGACAGGTCTAGGGTTCTGGAAGCCTGGGAAGGTTGGCCCCAGTGAACTGAGTTGTGGGATCATTGTGTAATTAAGGTAGAAGGAGAGAAACAGGAGGAGGGAGTGAGGTATGCCTGAACGTCATCCCGGGGCCAGAGACCCTAGAAGCCTCCCCTTCCCGGTTCTGGTCTATCCGTTCAGTCATCCGTTCTTCCCCTTTCAGGATCCCCATTCAGGGTGAGCTCTGTTCCCTTCTTCCTCCTGCAGAAGTGAGAGGCCATGAGTTGAGAGGCCATGAGTTTCGAGCTCTCCGTTAAACGAGAGTGTTTTCTGTAATGTTAAACGAGAGTGTTTTCTGTAATGTCAGTTCTCTGAGATTTTGTCTTTTGCCTTCTTCGGTTTTCAAAAATTGAATCAGAAACAAGCTACATAGTTACCAGATGGTAGTATGTGCCAGCCACTTGGTGAGGTAGTGAGTCATAAATGATAAGAATGACTAAGAAAGGAGTGTGCTTTTTCAAAACTTTTTTTGTATCAAAAACCTCTTTGTTAAAACTTCTGTTCACTTTTGAAGAATCAGTCAAGCAGGTAGTATTTCTGTAACAACTTTTTAAAATTAAAAACTCCTAAAAGCTTTAATCGGATTTCCCAGGTGGCACAGTGGTAAAGAATCCACCTACCAATGTAGGAGATGCAGGTTCTATCCCTTGGTCAGGAAGATCCTCTGGAAGAGGAAATGGCAACCCACTCTGGTATTCTTGCCTGGAATGTCCCATGGACAGAGGAGCCTGGCAGACTCACAGGGTTGCAAAGAGTGTACACAACTCAGCACTTATGCAAAAGCCTTAGTCTATCTTATCTTTCCTTTATCAACATATTCTAATGCTAGTCTTTTGAAAGTCATTGGCTATAAGGACTTCAAATCACTCAAGATACACACACACACACACACACACACACACACACACAAATTCTTACAGGATTATAACCAGGATGATACTGACTATATTATATTCCTCTCACCTTTTTGATAGGATTAATAACATACTCGTCATTAAAATCTATTCCCCACCCTCTTCTAGGTTATTCAGCCTAAATCAGTTACTCAAAGTAATAATAATTTTAAAAAGAGTAATAATCAAATTGTCTGCATGATGCTACCCTTTAAAATAAAAGCTGTACTTAAGGAGTATTTGTCTGACGGTCATTGATAAACTGGATTAACTGTAGAAGAGATAGGTCAGAAGAGAATGACCAGCTAAGAGTTTGGTAATTCCAAAAGGTCAGGAGGAGGAAAAATTAAAGTTAATTGAGCACATCAGCAATGGACTAGGCACTTCACAGTTTACCTTATTGAAGACTCATGACAGCTCCATGAGGTAGGAGTAACCGGTTCATCAAAAGGAATCTCAATGCAGAGATACAGAAGTAGATCATATTTTTATCTTAATAATTCATAGCAACTTGGTTTCCGGTTCCCAACCACATGGATAGGGGATTGGGTGTGGGAAAAAAACATGAACTTGCCAGATAAAGGTCTTAATCCGTTCTGGTAATTTTTGTGGCCTCATTAAATATTTGTCATCTCTAGTTTTAAACTCATTTTGTTTGAAGTTTAAAATCTTCCACCCTCGGTTTCAGCTAGAATTACTCAGCTGCTGAAACACTGCAGAGTGTCTCTCTGTCATATCCACATTCCGACCTTTCACCTACAGGGGAACCGGAGGGAGGCCAGCAGTGGAATTCTGGTTACATCAACGATGGGACGTTGATTTCCTGATGCTGGCTTTGTCAGGGAGGCACAGGTGCTTTTGGTGCCCCTGAGCCCACTCAGGGTACACAGATCCACACAAATGTTCTGGGTCTTAAAATTCTTCCCTTCAACCACTAAGGTAGTCTCTGCGGTTGCTTAACACCCCTGGCCTTCATGGTCTCTTGAGCAACTGGTTGATGGCCTCCAGCCTCTGCAGTACCTTCAGGTGCTTGACCAGACCCCCAAACCTAGCAATCCTACAACATTAGCCTTGCTCCATGGGAAAGGACTCCTTACCTGGACATTCTCTCTCACCCTCACCATCTCTCTTCTATTACTTCTCCATCCCAGGAGCATCAACTCAATCTGATGAGCTTCTTGGCTCTATGGATCATCAAGCATCAGTTCAGCAACTCTCAAGTGACTACTTTTCACTTGCAAACCCTCCGGATGAGGCTTTATATGAGACTTCTTCAGTCGACAACGCTTTGAGTGAGCATGGTTCAAGTGAGACAGCTGCAGCCCAACATGCTTCCGGTGAGCCGTTGGCAGTTGAACATGCAGGTGGGCCCGTTTCAGTTGATCACGCTACTGCAGTTGAGCATGCTCCAGGGGAGGCCGCTGCCAGTGAGCACGCTCTGAATGAGCACACTTCCGGTGAACAACCTTCTGTGGAACAACCTATAGGTGAGCAGCCTCTAGGCGAACAGTCTGTCGGTGAACAGGCCATAGGCGAACAGCCCACAAGCGAACAGGTTGCAAGTGATAAGCCTGCAGGGGAACAGTCTGCAGTTGAACCGGCCTCAGCTGAACAGGTCTCAGGTGATAAACTGGGCGATCAATCTTCAGGGGAACAGCCCTCAGACCTCCCGCCTTCAAGCACATTTTCAGGTGAGTCGTATTTGCATGGGTGCCTTTCCTTGACTTTCGGTGGGAAGTAGGTGACACATTAGGAAAGCCAGTTTTAAGGCATCCAGAAGAAAGAACAGTTCAGACACAGCACAAACAACTCTCTCAAAGAATCTCTTTACATTTCTTGGCAAGAATCCCCAGAGGCAGGATTCAGGTGTTGTGGGGCTTTTGAAGGCTAAACAGTTCAGAGGGCCCTCTTTAAGAAAAACAAAATACAAACGGCCAACTGTCCCTGCAACTTCATTCCACATAAGAAATTATGAAAATGAACGCCCATGGCTCCACTGGAAGAAGGGGCTCATGGAAGACAACCTTGGTGAGCTTCAGGCTAAATCGGCCTGTTCACAAACTATGTTAAAATCTTGGCAAATCCTACAACGACATGTCTAGCACCAGAACTGGTAGCTCTTGGATTTTTTTGTTTGAACATGATGTCAGTGGAAATAATAAATAATCATTAATAATAGAAAAGTTTTATTTGAGCCAAACTGAGGACTAGTTGGCTTTGCAGATTAGTCTGAGAAACGGCCCTGGAGAAACAGTTTACAGCACAGTTTTATATCTCATCCAAACAAGGCACATTGAACAAATCAGGGATATATTTTTTCATGGTTTTAAAAAACACAACAGACCAGTTCATACACATATAGCACGTACAGTTTGGGCTCCCCACGTGGAAAGGGAGTTTAATCATCAATGGAGGACTAGAATCAGCGTCCCAGAAAGAAGGGTATTTAATCTTTATTTTTAATGTGGACATTTTTTTTTTAACTTCTGGTCAATGTGACCTTTTCTTTAATAATTAAAGGAGATGTACAATGTATGTTTGATAGGCCACAAAGAAGCTAATGTAGTTAGCAAAAAATTCAAGTTAACTCATGTATAAGCCAGAATGACTTCTCTAGACCTCAATATGTGACTGTTTCTTTTACCAGTGGAAAGTAAAGCATGCCGACACTTCTGTCTGCACGATACAGAAATAAGTTCCCAGGACAACTGCAGTTCTTTGGTTCTTGCAAGGGTTTGTTCAAGGAAGGAAAACAAGATTTAAGGTTTAACGTCTCAAGTTATTACCAGACATAAACACTTTATGTTCACCCCATTTGTGTAAGTAGCAGTATTCCAAATTTTCAGAAGAGAGAAGTGAGATTTACCTCATCTGGCTAGAAAGAAGCAAACCTTGGATTCACACTGAAGTATGACTCCAAAGCCCATATTCTTTCTACTTTATGCTTCCTTAACTAGGAAACTGGCAGTGGAAATAGGCAATGTTGAGTCATTTCAGAGAGGCTCTGCTCTTTGTGACAAACTGCCCTGATTGAGGTGAATTTGAGAGTAGAGAATTGATACAAACACTTTATAGGTTTGCAACATTAGAACATTACAACATAGTCAGTCTTTTTTTTTATGCTGTCTTTTTTTTTAAATAGCAATTTCTCTTTTCTTTCTTATTTACTTTTGATGCATACCATTTAACAAGTCTTTATTGAATTTTACAGTACTGCTTTTATGTTTTGATCTTTTGGCCTGGAGGCATGTGGGTTCTTAGCTCCCCAAACAGGGACTGAACCCTCCCCCGCACCCTGCACTGGGAGGAGGAGTCTTAACCACTGGATCACCAGGGAAGTCCTTAACACAGCTTATTAATCAGTCAAATTTTACTGCAAATATCTGTGCCTTGTGGATAAGTGAGAGTATCGTGGGGAGTATGAACATCAAGTGAAAAGTTCCATTGCTCCTATGGAGTTAGACACAGCAGAAGGGCATCTAATGAGCAATGTCCAGGAAGCCCCTGGGCTATGAATTAAAGTCAGTACTAGAGGGAGAAAGGTAGGATTCATCAGCAATGAATATCATAGATGAAGCAGTAAGGATGAAGTCCTTTTCTCTGGTACGGAGGAGAAGATGCTTTTTCAGACCCACGAAATGGTTCTGTTTGTTGTCCATCATCCCTTCCCAGAAGTGTGACTCAAGGCTACACACCTGGGTCACAGGGTTATTTCATCAGGCTGATCTTAAACTTTTCAGGCCCGTCCTTAAGCTGCCACACATGCTCTTATATGAATGACCAAGGAAAATGTCTTCGTGGAGAGGGAGTCTGCGCCACCCAGAACTCCCAGCAATGCATGTTAAAGAAGATCTTTGAAGGTATGTGGGGACTTCATGGCTGGTCTTTGACAGAGAACTCATCACCCAGCTTGAGTACTGATGAGGGAGGGGGTGGTTAGGGTGGCAAGGGCCGGAGGAAGGGTCAAGCTGGGATTCCCTAGGAACTTTTAGATTCAAGAGGACCTCAATTCTTTCAAGAATCAAGAGTAGAATTCCAGCTATTGAGGGAGAGGCCCTTCCCCAAAGGCCTCCGATATCTTAAAAGAAGACAGGGAGATTGTCTCTTCCTATTAATGTGTGAGTTGCCCCTTGAGCCAGTAACAGTGACTTGCAAGCTCAGGAATGTGTCTGTCTTGCTCATGGCTATATATTCTAGCACTTAGCACAATGCCCAGTCCATGGTATGCATTTAGTAAACATTGAATAAATGAATTAAGTAGTCAACCGCTGTCCACTAGTCTGTGTTCACAAGTTGCCAGACCTGTCTGAGTGTATTCCCACACCTCTCCACCCTTAGTCAGTCCTTGTGCTCGGCTGCTCAGAGGTGTCCATCACTTTATGACCCCATGGACTGTAGCCCACCTGGCTCCTCTGTCCATGGGATTCTCCAGGCAAGAATACTGGAGTGAGTTGCCATTTCCTACTCCAGGGGTTCTTTCTGACCCAAGGATCGAACCTGCATCTCCTGTGTCTCCTGCATTGGCAGGCGGGCTCTACCACAGTGCAACCTGGAAAGCCCATATTCAGTCCTTATCCCTCAAATAAGGGAAGGGATCTTGGTTACTTTATCCTGTGAACCCCACTGCCTGACTTCCCTTGTGGTTTGTCTGGTCCCTCACTAGAGAGAGTAGGCGACTGATGGGGAAACAGCCCAGAAGAAACAGGTGGAAGGGGAGGGGAGAAAGAACATGCACGTTGTAGGACTTAGTCATGCTCTGCAGGGACTCTGGGGACCATGGATGAAAGGGAAGATTCAACAAGGAAGCCTGTGCTCTTTACAGTCTGTCTCTGCTTCTTTCAGGTGGAAAACTTCAATTCATGGTTCAGGGCTGTGAGAACATGTGCCCATCCATGAACCTTTTCTCCCACGGAACCAGGATGCAAATTATATGCTGTCGGAATCAGTCTTTCTGCAACAAGATCTAGCAGCCTATACCCTGGCCTCTTGATCTGACTCAGGCAGCAAAAATCCTCCACCACCCTACTGGGCTCAATTTATATTTAGTGTCTTCCCCAGGCAACTGCTAATTACATCTTTCTCTGCCTGTCAGACCAGAAGCTCTAATATCCTATCTTTCCTCTCCACGTCGTTATCCATCCTTCTCTGCCCTCAGTCTTTCTTATCCCTTACCCCATCTCTCAACATTCTTTTCTTTCTCAATAAATTATGCATAATTAAAGAATACTGACTCTAGGTAGACGTCTTTTCCCATCCACCAGGGGCAGGGTCACCCTGAGCTTCCTTCTGCTCCACACACTAAAGTGGTTGCATTTTTAAAAAAGATTTATTTCATTTTTTAATTTTTGGCTGTGGTGGGTCTTCACTGCTGTGTGTAGGCTTTCTCTAACTGCAGTTGTGGAGCACAGGCTCTAGGCAAGCGGGCTTAGTAGTTAGAGCGCGTCGGGTTTAGTTTCCCCGCGGCATGTGGGATCTTCCCAGAGCACGGATCAAACCCGTGTCCTTTGCATTGGCAGGTGGATTCTTTACCACTGGACCACCAGGGAAGCCCTAAAGTGGATGCATTTTTAAACAATTCCACATTTCTCAAAGTGAAGGGGTCCCCCAGGGCAGGGACCATGAAGACGAATGCGAAGTAGGTGTTTAGGGTCTTAAAATAATATAGCAAGTCCTTATCTCTGACCCCAACCTTTCCATCCCTACGGAAACTAAACTCACTTCTATTTACCACAATGTTCAAAACCCACCCCACTTCTTGGGACCTTGAGAGTTTTAAGTGGAGACTTGATGCTTAACAGAATTATAACAATGATTCCTTTTATCTGCTACATAAATAGAACAGATCATTATTATCTTAATTAAATCTTTTTCTCACACACAATGTCACTGGCTTGTCTCAGCATAGAGGGGTAGGTGGAAACTGTATACAGCCCCTCTTATCTTGTATTAGAGTTACACTCTTCAAAGTGTTTTCACATCTGATCCACTGAAAAGAGCCCAGAAAGGCAGTGAGGAAAGATAGCATCACCCTGAGTTCACAAGTAAGAAAGTCTGACATCGAAATGTTTTATATATTCAGATTCCATGTCATTCCAAACATATCAAAGGTACAGAGCAGCAGTGAGCAAGGGTCAGATTTCAAAACCAAAGCTGTAGGATCTCAATCTGAGCAAACAGCACAGTATAAATATTAGCTAAAACAGTTCTTTCAACACCAGAATTAAACCTCTGTCCCACACAAGCCCATTTCTTCTCAGCCACTGCTCCCCACACCTGTTTAAAAGCCCCTGAAAAATCAATGTTTTTGCTTTGGTTCTTATCAAGGATTTTTTGTGTGTGTTTGTAGGAAAGATTTACTTGAAGAAATGTTACAACATATAAAAACTATATTAGGTCTTAATTTCCACTCATACAGTGGTAAATTTGATATACATAATAAAAAACTTTTAAAATCCACAATGGACAAGTACTGCACAATTTGATCACTAAGTCAAATTAGCTGATAAGCAAACCTCACAGAACAGTCTCCTGTCAGCCAAGGTCAAAAACACCATGTACAACACATCTAAACTGACAGATTTAAAAATATATTAAAAATATAACAATGGTGGTGCATGTTGGGGACCCCTGGTGTCAGAAACAAAGAGAAATAAAATCCTACTAACATTATAGATGCTATTTTTTTGATGGAGGGAGATAAATATTAGCTAAATGTTATTAAACATAGCTAAATCTATTGTGCTGTGCTTAGTCATTCAGTCGTGTCTGACTCTCTGTGACCCCATGGACTGTAGCCCACCAGGCTCCGCTGTCCATGGGGATTCTCTATGCAAGAACACTGGAGTGGGTTGCCATGCCCTCCTCCAGGGGATCTTCCCAACCCAAGATTCCCGCACTGCAGGGGGATTCCTTACCGTCTGGGCCACCAGGGAAGCCTAATCTATTAGCTATGTATTTTGAGGAAATAAATTCAAATATGTTGTTACAACTGAAGGGTAGGGGAGTTTTGGCTTCCAATAGTGGGGGATTATTCAATATCACAGTATTCAATATCCAAGTCTATGCCCCAACCAGTAATGCTGAAGAAGCAAAGTTAAACAGTTCTATGAAGACCTGCAAGACCTTCTAGAACTAACACCCAAAAAAGATGTCCCACTCCAGTATTCCTGGGCTTCCCTTGTGGCTCAGCTCGTAAAGAATCTGCATGCAATGCGGGAGCCGGAGACCTGGGTTCAATCCCTGGTTGCAAAGATCCCCTGGAGAAGGGAAAGGCTACCCACTCCAGTATTCTGACCTGGAGAATTCCATGGACTATACAATCCATGGGGTCACAAAGAGTCAGACACAACTGAGCAACTTTCACTTTCATTATAGGGGACTGGAATGCAAAAGTAGGAAGTCAAGAAACATCTGGAGTAACAGGCAAATTTGGCCTTGGAGTACAGAATGAAGCAGGGCAAAGGCTAATAGAGTTTTGCCAAGAGAACGCACTGGTCATTGCAAACATCCTCTTCCAACAACACAAGAGAAGACTCTACACATGGACATCACCAGATGGTCAATGCTGAAATCAGACTGATTATATCCTGTGTTGCCAAAGATGGAGAAGCTCTCTACAGTCAGCAAAAACAAGACTAGAAGCTGACTGTAGCTCAGATCATGAACTCCTTATTGCCAAGTTCAGGCTTAAATGGAAGAAAGTAGGAAAAACCACTAGACCATCCAGGTGTGACCTAAATCAAATCCCTTATGATTACACAGTGGCAGTGAGAAATAGATTTAAGGGACTAGATCTGATAGACAGAGTGCCTGATGAACTATAGATGGAGGTTCTCGACACTGTACAGGAGGCAGGGATCAAGACCATCCCCAAGAAAAAGAAATGCAAAAAGGCAAAATGGCTGTCTGAGGAGGCCTTACAAATAGCTGTGAAAACAAGAGAAGCAAACAGCAAAGGGGAAAAGGAAAGATATTCCCATCTGAATGCAGAGTTCCAAAGAATAGCAAGGAGAGAGAAGAAAGCCTTCCTCAGCAATCAATGCAAAGAGACAGAGGAAAACAATAGAATGGGAAAGACTACAGATTTCTTCAAGAAAATTAGAGATACCAAGGGAACATTTCATGCAAAGATGGGCTCAATAAAGGACAGAAATGGTAGGGACCTAACAGAAGCAGAAGATATTAAGAAGAGGTGGCGAGAATACACAGAAGAACTATACAAAAATGATCTTCATGACCCAGACAATCACGATGGTGTGATCACTCACCTAGAGCCAGACATCCTGGAATGTGAAGTCAAGTGGACCTTAGGAAGCATCACTATGAACAAAGCTAGTGGAGGTGATGGAATTCCAGGAATGAACTATTTAAAATCCTAGAAGATGATGCTGTGAAGGTGCTGCACTCAATATGCCAGCAAATTTAGAAAACTCAGCAGTGGCCATAGGACTGGAAAAGGTCAGTCTTCGTTCCAATCCCAAAGAAAGGCAATGCCAAAGAATGTTCAAACTACTGCACAATTGCACTCATCTCACATGCTAGTAAAGTAATGCTCAAAATTTTCCAAGCCAGGCTTCAACAATACATGAACCATGAACTTCCAGATGTTCAAGCTGGTTTTAGAAAAGGCAGAGGAACCAGAGATCAAATTGCCAACATCCAGTGGATCATTGAAAAAGCAAGAGAGTTCCAGAAAAGCATCTATTTCTGCTTTATTAACTATGCCAAAGCTTTTGACTGTGTGGATCACAACAAACTGTGGAAAATTCTTCAAGAGATGGGAATATCAGATCATCTGACCTGTCTCTTGAGAAATCTGTATGCAGGTCAGGAAATAACAGTTAGAACTGGACATGGAACAACAGACTGGTTCCAAATTGGGAAAGGAGTATGTCAAGGTCGTATATTGTCACCCTGCTTATTTAACTCATATGCAGAGTACTTCATGAGAAACGCTGGGCTGGATGAAGCACAAGATGGAATCAAGATAGCCAGGAGAAATATCAATAACCTCAGATACGCAGATGACAGCACCCTTACAGCAGAAAGTGAAAAAGAACTAAAGAGCCTCTTGATGAAAGTGAAAGAGGAGAGTGAAAAAGTTGGCTTAAAACTCAACATTCAGAAAACTAAGATCATGGCATCTGGTCCCATCACTTCATGGCAAATTGATGGGGAAACAGTGGAAACAGTGGCTGACTTTATTCATTTATTTTTTTTTTTTTGGCTCCAAAATCATTGCTGATGGTGACTGAAATTAAAAGACACTTACTCCTTTGAAGAAAAGTTATGAGCAACCTAGACAGCATATTACAAAGCAGAGACATACTTTGCCAATGAAGCCCTGTTTAGTCAAAGCTATGGTTTTTCCAGTAGTCATGTATGGATGGGGAGAAGGAAATGGCAACCCACCCCAGTATTCTTGCCTGGAGAATCCTGTGAACAGAGGAGCCTGGTGGGATGTCATCTATGGGGTGGCCCAGAGTCCGACATGACTGAAGTGACTTAGCAGCAGCAGCAACAGCATGTATGGATGTGAGAGTTGGAGTATAAAGAAAGCTGAGCGCAGAATTGATGCTTTTGAACTGTGGTGTTGGATAAGACTCTTGAGAGTCCCTTGAACTGCAAGGAGATCCAACCAGTCCATCCTAAAGGAAATCAGTCCTGAATATTTATTGCAAGGACTGATGTTAAAGCTGAAACGCCAATGCTTTGGCCATCTGATGTGAAGAACTGACTCATTTGAAAAGACCCTGATACTGGGAAACATTGAAGGCGGGAGGAGAAGGGGGCGACAGAGGGTGAGATGGTTGGCTGGCATCACCAACTCAGTGGACATGAGTTTGAGTAAACTCCGGGAGTTAAGTGATGGACAGGGAGGCCTGCTGTGTTGTAGTCCATGGGGTCGCAAAGAGTTGGACATGACTGAGTGACTGAACTGAATTGAATGGTGGATTAGTTTGGATGAACTAACCTTCCTTCAGATAAGAATTTAAAACTATGAACCAAAAATTAGAAACAACTACTTAAAAATTTCTCAAAAGGGAACCAGAGAGAAGTCACCCCTAAAAAGACTAGGATAGCACTGGGTGAGATAGATAGTTCTGAGCCTTTACGCCTAAGGGTATTCTCAATCCACATGTCATAGGGTGGCAAAAATCCAGTTTACTGGCTTGAGGTCAGAGAACATAGGCTGGAGTTGGCAGAGCAGCTGTAAAATTAGGGGGAAATCCTCAAAAGGGAACTACAGAGGGGATAAACTACAAAACTTGAATATAAACTGTGACCAAATTCTTGGTTGACACTGACTCTGGGAGGCTCAACAAGAGTACCTGGAAGCAGAGAGAACTGAGCAGAGATTTTGGCTGTTGTCCACCTCAAGGAAGACCAGCTTTGGAGTTCAGGTCAACCCAAGTTACCTACCCACCAGAACAAATGTCAGTTCTCCTCAGAGGAACACAGAGTCCAGAATCTCTCAGATGCATCATTCACTGTGTCCACCACATAAAACAAATTATCAGGGAAAAAAAAAAAAGGAAAATGTAACTCATAGCTAAAAAAATTAAAAAAAAAAAAAAGATACTGTCTCAAGATGAACCAGACATTGAAATTAGTGAACAAAAGCAATAAACAACTATTTGAGATATGTTCAAAAACCTAAAGGAGAGGATTAAGAGGTACAAACTTCCAGGAACAAAAGAAGTCAGGGGTCTGTAATGTACAGCATAGGAAACACAGTGAACAATACTGTAGTAACTTTGTATGGTAACAGATGTTAACTAGACTTATTGTGGTGATCATTTGTAACGTATAAAAATACCAGGGACTCCTCTGAAGTCCAATGGTTAAGACTTCACCTTCCAATGCAGAGAGTGAAGATTCGATCCCTAGTTAGGGAACTAACAGCACACATCCCTCATGGCCAAAAAAAACCAGAACATAAACAAGAGAAGCAATACTGTAATGAACTCAATAAAGACTTTAAAAATAGCCCACATTAAAAAAAATCTAGAAAAATATCAAATCAGTACATTTAACACCTGAAAATAATAAAATACAAGTCAATCATGCTTAAAGATAAATGAATCCAAAATTTTAAAATTAATTTAAAAGGGGGGAAAGAACATAAAGGAAATTAGAGTCATATGAATAAACAGACTCCCAAAGGTTTGGAAATGAAAACACAATTGTAAATGATCCATGAGTCAAAATATAAACAATAAAATAACTAGAAAAAAAAATTTGAGCCAGGTAACAAAAATACAACACATGAAAATTTGTGGCATTAAGTACAGTGAAACTTAGAGAGAGAAATGCATGATTTTAAACACTTGTATGCAACACATAAAATTGACACAAGACTAGTATCCTGAAAGTAAAAAGTGAGTGTTCATCACTCAGTTGTGTTTGACTCTTACTGATCCCATGGCCTGGAAGCCCGCCAAGCTCCTGTCCATGGAAATCTCCAGGCAAGAATACTGAAGTGGGTATTCCTGGGGAAGGGAGAAGATTCCCTGCTCCAGGGGATCTTCCTGACGCAGGATCAAATCTAGGTCTCGTTCTCTGCAGGCAGATTCTTTCCCATCTGAGCCACCAGAGGAGCCCAAATGTCTCCATTTACAGAAAACACAGAGGGCAGGTGAAACCTGGAGAAACTGAACCACAGTGATGCAAATTCGGACTAAGAATGAGACAATAAACCAGCTGGGTTCTTCTACCAATAAATTACAAGGAGAAAAAAAATCAGACAGAGGGAGAACAAAGTGGGCACTTACAACCAAAAGCACCTTAGACATCAGTCAATTTCTAGTACGGACTTTATTTCTATCCTGATTCAAAAAACTGTAAAAAGTAAGGATTGGAAATCTGAACACTAGATGGATGTCAATGAAGACCCATGGGGAAAGGAAATCTTTTCACCAGTGCTAAATTAGATAGCCATATGGGGAAAAAATGTTACCTGACCTCCTATTATACACAAAAATCATTTTCAGGTAAACTGTAGATCTAAAGGTGAAAGCCAAAACTATAAAGCTTTTGGAAGATAACAGAAAAGAAAATCTTCATGATTTTGAAGTAGGGAATGAGTGTTTAAGTAGGAAACAAAAATTGCTAGACAGAGGACAAGTCTTAATTGAACTATACTAAACTGCAATCGTATACGACGTGTGAAATAAGCCACGGAATGGGAGTGCACGTTGTTCAGTGGCTCAGTCGTGTCCGACTCTGTGACCCCGTGGACTGTGGCCCGCCAGGCTCCGCTGTCCATGGGATTTTCCAGGCAAGTATACTGGAGTGGGTTGCCATGCCCTCCTCCAGATCTTCCCAACCTAGGGATTGAACTTGAGTCTCATGTCTGCTGCATTGGCAGGCAGGTTCTTTACCAGCAGTGCCACCTGGGAAGCCCTATTTTGTACATATTTGCTGAACTAAATAGGAGCTGCTGAACTGAATTCAGAGTATGAAAACTGTATCAAGGATGATTTCTAGAGTTTTAGCTTAAGAAACTAGGGGGCTAAATGTGGCATTTATTGAGGTGGGGGGAACTAGGGAGGAGTAGGTTGGAGGACAGGGATCAAAAGTTCTATTTGGTCAGGAGATGACTATTAGTCAAGGGGAAATGTCAGGTAGACCATGGCTGTAAAAGTCTAGAGTTCAGGGGAGATGTCAAAGCCAGGGACAACTTTGTTTATGAGAGTTACCAATGGTTGGCTGACAATTCTCTCTCTTCTTTTATTCTTTTGGACATGCTGTGTGGCATGTGGGAACTTAGTTCCCCAACTAGGGATCAAACCCTCGCTCCCTGCAGTGGAAGCTCAGAGTCTGAACCACTGGACCGCCAGAGAATTCCCTGGCTGACAATTCTCAAGAACAAAATTTCCTATTTGAGAATGTACTGGCTTAATTCTTAGAAGCTCCCTATCGGTTTAAATTTATTCCTCCTGTGGGTTGTTGTTGCTCAGTCACTCGTGTCTTGACTCTTTTTGACCCCATGGACTGCAGCACGCCAGGCCTCCCTGTCCTTCACAATCTCCCAGAATTTGCTCAAACTCATGTCCATTGAATCAGTGATGCCATCCAACCATCTCATCCTCTGTCGTCCCCTTCTCCTCTTGTCTTCAATGTTTCCCAGCATCAGGGTCTTTTCCAGTGAGTTGGTTCTTCACATCAGGTGGCCAAAGTACTGGAGTTTCAGCTTCAGCATCAGTCCTCCAGTGAATATTCAGGACTAATCTCCTTTAGGATGGACTGGTTGGATCTCTTTGCAGTCCAAGGGACTCTCAAGAGTCTTCTCCAATGCCACAGTTCAAAAGCATCAATTCTTCGGTGCTCAGTCTTACTCATGGTCCAGCTCTCACATCTGTACGTGACTATTTGAAAAACGACAGCTATACCACAATAATGCCATTTACCAAGATACACAATATATGATAAACTCTATAAAGTTTCATGTTCTTGGCTTCAGACTAGAATAACTGGCTAATTTTTATAAATCACCAAGAAACGGGAATACTGGGACCCAATCTAACACATTCAAATGTTAATATAAATTGTATTGAAAGAACAAGATCTTACTAAAATTAACAGGTGAAAAAAGCCAGGAATCAGATCAATTTCCATTACTTTCTTACGTCTCCAGCCTCTTTCATTCCTCACTGTCTAGAAGTTTAGTCACCAATGAGTTTACAGAGTTAGCTATTCATTTTCAAAATAGAATTTATTTCTGTAATAAAGAATTAAAATATGGCTGTGAAAGTAGAAAATAATATAGAAAAATATTTAAAATGTGCAACAGTAATTCCGAGTAAAGATTGTTAAGCACTAGAATTTATGCTCAACTTCTATTTGAAAGACCAATCATACATATTAACTATACCAGAAAAAAACATACCAACTTGCAATTTTAATTATTGTTCAAAAACAGCTTTATGTACCTGGTCAGGCCCTTTTAAGTACAAATCTTGGGGTATACATTTTGAAGCTGGCTTCACTTCAGACTGACTGATAAATTTACTGCCCCACAAATAACAAGGTTTTTGTTTTTTTTACTAATTTATCCATGTGATTAAGTCAATGTGCAGGAAATATGTACTTTTTGGATGGAACCAAATGTTTTGGTAGAATGGGACAAGAGTATAATTTTTCATTATATTGGTATAAATGCTGGTAAACTTATGTAACCCCAGAGCATGGTTTCCACCAGGCGGGTCTCAATTCAGTGCTAAATGCACATGAAGGACTATCTAAATGAATTCTATCCACCCTTTCCCCAAAGTTTCACTTACAGTTAAGATACAGATATTATTTGTATGAAGAATATACAGAAGAATTGGAAAATGTTTGGCTGGAGGGAAGACAACTCTTCAGGGACTATTGTTTGCAGTTTGCAGAATAGATAATCTTCTCTAGGAAGAATAATGTCCACATAGCAGCACTATATTCACCAGGAATCCCAGAACCAGTGGATCTATCATGTGACAGGAAGCCAAACCTTCTGGCTGCTCACAACATCACTCAGTTTCCCCTTGATCTTCAGGAAGTGTCTCTTGAATTCCAATCCATCACCCTATATTAGAAATAAAAGCCAAAACTCATGTTTAAAAAAAAAAAAGACTATGTCATAAAATCAAACTTTCTTTAGTGGTACATAGAGACAAACATCCATAGATATGTCCAGCTATCCTCATCTTCAGGTCCTCTTACAAAGACAAAACAACTTCATAGAAGAAAAGTGAAAGTGAGAGTCGCTCAGTTGTATCCGACTCTTTGTGACCCCACGGATTATACAGTCCATGGAATTCTCCAGGCAAGAATACTGAAGTGGGTAGCCGTTCCCTTCTGCAAAGGATCTTCCCAACCCAGGGATCGAACCCAGGCCTCCCATATTGCAGGCAGATTCTTTACCAGCTGAGCTACAAGGGAAGCCCATGTAGAAGAAATGCCTACATAAATAATTCTGACTTGATTTGGGGCCCATTACACTGGGCCCAGAGAGCAGAAAACAATGGCATCTTGTTCATTTCAATTGTTGATAGCTCTGGACCTAGGTCACTGTTTTTCATAGGCACTGGGAGTTTATAAACTAAAAATTAGCTACACGACTACACTTAAGTCTTGCCAAAACACTGTGGCAACAAAGCCAGTGATTCAGTTATGAGAAGGATTTCACTACTCTAGGATCTTAATTTAATTCCATACCAAGCATTTGGACAATAGTACTGCAGCAAGCTGCTAATATAAAGAAAGTGACCAATTCTTCCAGCCTTGTTTAGAGCCATGTACAATCTTTCAGGAAATAGAGAAAATGCTATTTTGGTCTTATGTATCAAGGGCTTTAAAACTATAACCTCAGAACCACTAATTTCTAAAGAAAGAATCAGAAATGTGAATAAAACTCTGTATATGAGTATGAATCACAAAGTAGCTTATAACAGATAAAGTTTCATTAACTATAATGTGCAAACATTTTGACAAATCACAATTTTTATGAAAAATACTATATACAAATTCAATAAGAAAAAGCTCAGAATGCTACAAAATGCCAAAGGTAATTAAAGATAAAAATAATTTATGACTATTCTTATTTTCTTTGTTATTTACAGATTACACAAAAAACAAAAACTTTTATAATAAGGAATGTTATTTGAAAAACTGTTTTGGAAGAATAGATAATGACAAGAACAAATGTTCATAATATTAAATAAAAAAAACAAGTCAACATATATCTAAAATATAATGCCAGTAAAAAAAAATCTCCACATAAGAGTATTTCTATATAGCATGTATTACAAGTAATAGTAAGGTTATTCTGATACAGTCTCAAAAATAAATCTGTTTTCTGTGGATGACTTGATTCTTACTTTCTTCTTTACACTTTGTGTTTTTAAAATTTCTAAAATGAACATGTAATACTTCAAAAATAGCAAAACAAAGCTTTCTCTCTTAAAAAATGTGCTAATCTATATACCTTAGAAAGCCGGAAGTCAACTAAGATCTTCTCATCCATTTCTACCAGATTCACTTTGAAAATCAGCTTATTGTTTCTTCTATCAGTTGTTGATACAGTAACCTAAGACAATAAAAATAAGGTTAAAGCATATGTGTGGGTAGAAAATACTCTAAATAAAAACTATCTCAGTTCAGTGATACTGCTGGGATGCAAACTTGAGCAAAGCTTCTACAACAGGAGCAGTGCCACCAAACATCCCATTCTTTCCAGGACTTTCCTCTCCCGACGGGTACATGTGTGTCCACTCAGACCGACCTGTAAACAGGATGCAGCGCCATCATTGGGGATTGAGTCTATGTGAACACTTAGCAACAGAAGAAATTTAGTGTTTTATCAAAATACAACTGAAAGAAGAAACAGTTGAAGAGAATGAAACCAGAATGAGAGGGAAAACAAGATTATTAAAACAGAAGAAAGAAAAAGAGAGGTTAGGTTTTTGGGTAAAAAGCTACAACAGTGATCAGAAGATGGCGAAAGCTCTAAGAGGTCTTTCAACTTCCACTTTCACTGTTTTAGAAGCACAGGCTAGAAGATGGACATAGAAAGAAAGGCCCAGCCAACAGCCAGCACCAAGACTCCAAAGGTGGATGAGGCTGTCTTGGACCACCAGCCACAGAAAAGTCATCAACTTCAGCTGGACAGATAAGCCCAAGTTAAGATCAGCAGATTTGTCTAGCTAAGCCCAGCCCAAAGTACAAAAACATTTTTAATAATTCTCACCTCACACAGGGAGCTTCTGCTAAGTCACTTTAGTAGTGTCCGACTGTGCGACCCCATAAGCGGCAGCCCACCAGGCTCCCCTGTCCCTGGGATTCTCCAGGCAAGCACACTGGAGTGGGTTGCCATTTCCTTCTCCAATGTGTGAAAGTGAAGTCGCTCAGTCGCTCAGTCATGTCCAACTTGTAACAAACCCATGGACTGCAGCCCACCAGGCTCCTCCAACCATGGGATTTTCTAGGCAAGAGTACTGGAGTGGCTTTGCCATTGCCTTCTCTATCACACAGGGAGGGCTTTCATTAAAAAGAAACAATAACAAGTGTTGACAAGGATGAAGAGAAATTGGAACCCTCCTACATGGCTGGTAGGAATGTAAAATGGTGTCACTGCTTTGAAAAATCATTTGGCAGTTCCTCAAAAGATAAACACAAGAGTTATTGTATGCCCAGCAATTCTGATCACAGGTATATACCAAAGAAATTGAAAACATCTCCTTCTGGACTGAAACATATCCCCTCAAAATTCAGATGTTGAAACCCTAACTCCCAATGCCTCAAAACATGGCTATTTTGGAGATAAGACCTCTTTAAAGAGGTACTTGTTGTTCAGTTGCTCAGCTGTGTCCAACTCTTTGCGACCCCAGGGACTGTCCTTCACCATCTCCCAGAGCTTGCTCAAATTCATGCCCACTAGGTTGATGATGCCATGCAACCATCTCATCCTCTGTCGTCCCTGTCTCCTGCCTTCAATCTTTCACAGCATCAGGGTCTTTGCCAATAAGTTGGCTTTGCATCAAGTGGCCAAAGTATTGGAGCTTCAGCTTTAGCATCCGTCCTTCCAATGAATATTCAGGGTTGATTTCCTTTAGGATTGACTGGTTTGACCTCCTTGCAGTCCAAGGGACTCTCAAGAATCTTCTGCAGCACCACAGTTCAAAGGCATCAATTCTTTGGTGCTTAGCCTTCTTTCTGGTCCAGCTCTCACATTCATACATGACTACTGGAAAAATCATAGCTTGGACTATATATACAGTCCTTTGTTGGCAAAATAATGTCTCTGCTTTTTAATATGCTATCTAGGCTTGTCACTGCTTTTCTTCCAAGGAGCAAGTGTCTTTTAATTTAGAGGTGACTAGGTTCAAAGGAGACCATTCAGAGGGCCGTAATCCAATCTGACTGGTGTCTTCATTAGAAAATGAAATCAGGATACAGAAAGTGACAGATTCGGGGGAGGTGTGCAGGGAGGACAAAGCATAGGAGCAGACAGCAAGAGGGTGGCCATTTAAAAGCCAAGGTTCCAGAGGAAACCAGCCCTGCCAGAACCCTGGTCTTGGACTTCAGTGTCTAGAGCTGTGAGAAAATAAATTTCTGTAAATAAACAAATAAATACCCCCTAGTCTGTGGTATGTTGTTACGATGGCCCTGGCAAACTAAAATACCTGTCTTCACACAGAAACCCGAATGATCACAGCAGCATTATTCATCATTATTCATAACAGCCAAAAAGTAGATACATTATCCCAAATATGCATCAATAGATAAATGCTTACACAAAACAGTCTATCCATGTAACAGGCTATCATTCACCCATTAAAAGGAATAAAGTATTGATAAATGCTACAACATGAATTAACCTTGAAAATACTATATTAAGTAAAAGAAGACAAACACAAAGGGTCATACACTATATGATTCCATTTATAGGAAATGCCCAGAAATAGGTAATCCACAGAAAGTATATTAGTGATTGCCAGGGAGGAAGGAACGAAGAATGACCGCTAATTGGTACAGAGTTTATTTGGGGGGCAGTGGGAAGTTCTATATTTAAATGGTGATAATTCCACAATCCTGTGAACATACTTAAAAACACTAAATTGTGTACTTTAAAATGGTTAAAGTGATGATTTTTATATCATGTGAGCTTTATCTCAATAAATCTACCTTAAAAAAAAAAAAGAGTAAGATATCTATATAAGTGAGAGTATAATCAGGCTGGCTTCAGGTTTCCTCATAGTAACATTTTCCCCTAACTTTTAATTTTGAAAGTTTATAAATCTACAGAAAAACTGAAAGAATCCTACAATAAATAACCACAAATGTTTATTGGCCTTATAAACCTAGATAAGCATGTTTACTTCTTTTTTACATGATTGTCTTTTTTTTTTAGTTTTTAAACTAAGTTATAAATTACACACACTTTACCATGTATCTCCTGCAGACATTCTCTTACAAACCACAGTATTATGATCACACCAAAGAAATCTGACACTTATCAGAAAGAAGAAAAAAAAAAGAGAAATCTGACACTGATACAAAAACATTATCTAACATAAAACTCATATTCAAATTTCCCCAATTGTTCTAATAACATCATTTATAGCTTTCTTTTTCTTTAAATCCATGATCTAGTGAAAGATCATGCATTACATTATTTATCAAGCCTCTTTAGTCTCCTTTAATACAAAATATCTCTTTCTCTTTGTTTTTCACAATATTAAGACTTTTGAAGAGCCTAAAGACAGATCAGAATGTCTATTATAAATATGCTATAACAATGTAAACAACAAAAATTGGCAGTTGGGAGCAGGGAAGATGGAGGAAGCATGGAATTGTTAATGGACCCATCTTTCACAGAAGGAAGCTCATTGCTGTTACAATTTAAGTATAACGTATAGTTTTAAAGAAAATAAGACTTGAATCTCTTAGTATTTGTAATAACCTTAGAGAAGTCTTCTTTTAAGAAATACTAGTTCTTAAGGAAAAAACACTGTACTTAAATTTCAATGGTTTCTTTTTCAAATTAGACTAATTACTTTAAATTTTAATATATACATAAAATGATAGCACTTTTAAATTTATTTTTAATTGAAGGGTAATTGCTTTACAGTATTGCATTGATTTCTACCAAATATCAACATGAATCAACCACAGAATGATATCTCTTATTTTACTCAAATATTTTAAATTTTTCTTCAGGAAAAGATCTAACAAAATATTGTGTGTAATGCATTTTTAAACAATTAGGAAATATTTGAGATGCAGAAGGTATACAGAATAATAAAAACAAACACCTGTGTACCCTCTACTCAGCTTCCTAACCCAAACTTCCTCCTTGTTGCTAAGCAACCACCGTCCAAAGATGATATTACCATCTCTGTTCATTTTTGTTACTTTTATTATATGTGCATATATCCCTAAAAACAAGATTTTACATGTGTTACATGAAATTGGGGTGGCGACACATTGTATGTATTCCTTTGCTTATTTTGCTAACATTATATGTGAGATTCATCCAAGCTGAAGAGTGTGTAGATGGTGCTTTCATCTTCATGGATGTCAAGACTCATTTCAGTGGACCCAGGTCACTACAGCCATGGAAGCCTGGTGAAAACAAAACCTAACTCCCTCTGGAGAGATGCTCAAATCAGGTTTCACCAGATTTCTGAGACTAAAATCCAAACCCCCCAACATGAACAGTGAATAGCAGAACCAGACCCTCAGGAGTTCAAATAATGTAGGTATGTGATATCAAATGAATACTTAAGTTTTTAAATACATTAAAGAATAAATTTTGAAATATAAAAAAAAAAAAAAAATCAATGAAACATACCTGATTCATACAACTTTTCTTCCACTGATAGCCCAATTTCTCACAAGTCTCTTTCAGGCATTGATAAGATTTGTCTGCATCCAGTTTGGTAAAAAATCGCGTCATTCTTTTGACTAAGCGCTGCCAGGGGTTCTACAAGTCAAATAGAAGAAAGCTGAATAAATTATCAGACTTACCACCAAAAGTAATCATACTATAGCTATTTGCCTTGAAAATTCTTTTTTCTGACTTCAGATTCTTATACATAAGTGTCTCCCCTAGGGAATTCCCTGGCAGCCCAGGCGTCAGGACTGGGCCAGTGCCAGAGGCCAGGGTTCAATCCCCGGTTAAGGAACTAAGAACCCACATGCCATGGTGTGGCTAAAAAAAGAGGAAAGAAAGTCTTGAGTCTCGGGATTTCTCTGGTGGCCCAGTGGCTAAGACTGCACTCTCAATGCAGTGGGCCCAGGTTTGATCCTGGGTCAGGGAACTAGATCCCACATCCTGCAATGAAGACTGAAGATCTTGTGTGCCACAACTAAAACCCAGTGCAGCCAAATAAATAAACATTAGGAAAAAAAAGTCTCCCCTAATTCTCTCCTCCACGTCAAAAAAAAAAAACAAAAACAAAACTGTATCAAGTGTTAATACTGTATTTCTTAGATTGACAAAAAAAAAAAAAAAAGACTTTAAGACAATAAAAAATAAGAGTTGCCATTATTATTTGAGGAACTAAATTCCCTTACCTGTGAGGATCCTGGAGTGCCAAGCAACTGACTATTTAGAAGCATGTGATCAGGACAAGTGGGCTGGGAAAAGCTGATCCCTTGTACCAGTTTGTCAATGTATGAAGGGCTGGTGTCCCATAAGGAAAGGCCTGTCCGTGGTTCTGGCTGAGAACTGGAGTACTTCACACTTTCTTCACTGAGGCATTAGGATATGGAGAAAAATATACCTTTAAATAAAGTTCTTTAGGCCTTTCTTATATGGCAATACCATTCTCACACTGAAAAAAATTATATTCATCTTAAAACATTGAATACATGGATTGTTTTTCATGGGGACTATTATATCCAACAACTACTTGATCTTTTATTAATTATTAACCGACCTTACCTAGAAGCACAGTTTACTGGAGAGAAGTCCAAGTTGGATTGAATATGTTTAGAGAATCCACCAGGAGACTCTGATACACCACTAGAAGTAGCCCGGGGCCTCTTTGCCCCTAAAAAAGAGAACATAAATACAGATGCTTTCCCAGTTAGCAAATTGAAGAAGTAAAACCATACCTAAATTCATTTCTTAAACACAAAATACTTATATGATAGATAGTGGCTCTTCCTATATGATTTTATGAGAAACATGGTTAGGAACTTCTGACTCGGAATCACTTGTCAAATTGTGCAAACTACACATTTCATAAATCTTCACCTATAAGTCTGTCCCAAGGGCACAGTGTCAATGTTAAGGCAGTCATTTTAATGGTACCATTTCTGGTAGCAGAACAATGTTCTATGAAGACTAAGAGACCCAGCAACAGGATCAAAACCTTTTAAAATAAAAAATAATTTGTGATAATGACAATGAATGTTATGAATCTGCTCTACTCAACCTTCATTGCTCATGAGAGTCAATTCCTAGGTAGGTTGATAAGAAGCCCAAGGTTTCTGAGGAGGAGAAAGGGGTCTGGGGCTCTCAAGGAGAAAAGGTCAAACCTTCTTTCTACATTGCTTTGTCTTAGTCAATATAACAATGTATCTTGCTCAATGATATGTTTCTCCTTAACAAGAACCTTCTGACTAATCCTGTCATCTTAAAATGTGTATTATGGGGGTGGGTGGTAAGATCTTTCTATTGTTGGTTCTAATCTTATTAATTTAAGATGTATGTTATGGGAATGGGTCTGATAAGGCCTTGATAAGACTAGCTGGCAGGGATAGGGGGGTGGGTGGCAGCATTCTCCGTCCCCCTTCTAATGTCCATGTCAGAAGCTTTCTCAGTCCCTTTTCACTTTCATAAAACTCTGCTATACAAAAGCTCTTGAGTGATCAATGCTGGTCCCTGGTCCCAAAGTTAAATCTTTTTCAGAGATCACGAATCCAAGATCGTTCACCATAAGCTATCACTCCCTTGGATAAATCTTTACTAAAAATAATCATCATAGAGAATAGGATGCCACAGTAAATTCATGGCTACTCCCCTCCACTGGATCCTCACCCCTAACAGGCTGCGATACATTTCTCTAATCAGTTTTCTTTTCCTTTCCCCATAATGATTCTTTGAAAACATCTATACTCCTGCCAAATTACCGAGACCCCCTCCAGTACCTCATTACTTACATACATCTCCCATTTCAGTCACTGGAAGCTCCCTCGATTTGCTGCTACCAAATCTAACTTACTTGCATTCCTACCTGTCCTCTCTTCCCTTCCATCCTCCCACCAAATGTTCATTCCTCTACTTGAAAAGGACCCCATACCCTCCTTTCTCCTTAGGGATCTTGCTGCTTTTTTCTTCCCTCTCTCTTAGACTTTTAGCTTCTTCCTCCCAATTGGATCTGGTGGCTCAGTGGTAAAGAATCTGAAATTCTAGAAAGATCTTTTAAAACCAAATATATAAGCATGTCATTTTCTTGCTTAAAATCTACCAAAAGGTTTTCCCATGGCCTTTAGTTAAAGCCCAAGATTCTTAGCATGAGTTATAAGGTCCTCCATGGCTTGGTTCCTATCTACCACCTCATCTCAAATCTCTCCCTCCCCCCTTCTCTACTCACTTATTCACTCCATGAACATTTATGAAATGCCTACAATGGACCACACACTGTACTAAGCACTGGCGACGTAATGCTGAACAAGCCAGACATGGTCCATGCCACACACACCTTCTCTCAAGCTCCTCAAATGCACTACTCTCTAACCACCAGGTCATCCCTGATGCTGCTTCCGTGTTTGGAATCTGCCACTCATCTTGCTACTACTCATCTGGCTAGCTCCCCTTTAATCTTCAAATCTTAGATTTAATGTTACTTCCTCAGCAAGGTAAATGTTCTCTGTCACTTAAGATTAGGTCAACTACCATATAGCTCAGAGAACTCTGCTCAGTGTCACGTGGCAGCCTGGGTGGGCAGGGAGTTAGGGGGAGAGTGGATACACGTATATGTGTGGCTGAACACCTTTGCTGCACCTGAAACTATCACCACATTGTTAATCAGCTCTATTCCAATACAAAATAAAAAGGCTAAAAAAAAAAAAGACTTGGTCAAATTCTTAGCTACAGTACCCTGACTTTCTACTTTATAATTATTAATGAACTAAAAATTATTTTTTATACTTCTGTTTTTTGTACTAGAGGCTATCATCTCCACGAGGACAGAGACCACAGCTATCTTGTGTTGTTGACTTATGCTGACTTTACAAGTACCTTCTCTTTCACAGAAAAAAAAAATAAATTTTTTTTTTTAAACTTGTATTTTCAGCATATTACCTTTCTTGAGTGGTTTGTTGTACCATCTATCTTTCTTGATGTCTGGGATGGTAATCCTTACTGATGGGTTCTCAACTAAGATTTTATGTAGCAGAGCTGAAAACAAAATATTAAGACAACATTTACAAGTTTCATGCAGATTAGAAAAGCCTATAGCTTGTGGTGTAAAACACACATTCCCTATTGCTCTCGTTAGGTCCAAATACTACTTCTGGGGAAGAGAAAACAAAGCCACTAAATTTTTGCTTGAATTTCATGCAATTATTCCTTGTTACTGTCTATATCTTTGAATTTTCTTCCCAGACCAGACTCACAGTTGTTTGTAAATAGAACAAGAGCTGGGTGGAAATGTTTCTCTCCACTTGATGATATTTATACAAAGATACAAAAACAAAAAACAAAACACAAACCAGAAAACCTCTATTTACACAAAGATAAAAAAAACCTCATCATTTTCAATACCAAACTTCATTGTTCTAACATGTCATACTAAGTTCTCATTCACACAATTTTATAATGAAAATTTACTTTCCAGTAACTTTTTAAGAGACAGTAATAAAAACAACCATCATCCTAAGACCTTAATTAATTGATTAAGAATTCATACATCTCCCAACACCAAAAAACTCTTCTAATGGACCAAAGATTTAAATGGAAAACAAAACAAAACAAAAGCCATGAAAACATAGGTTAATTTTTTTCTACTGTTGAGGGTAGAAAAGACCTTTCCAAACATGACAATACAGTCAGAAATCAAAAAGGATAAGACACTAGATTTAAATAAATAAAATATAAAACTTCTGTATGTCAAAATAGCATAACAAAGTAAAAATTCATGACAAACTGTCAAAAATATTTGTAACAAATGCAATGATATAATGACACTAATATTTTCTTAAAAACTTCATATAGAATAAAAGGAAAGCTTCCTACCAAAAATGAGCAAAATAGACAAGTCCACAAAAATAGATTAAAAAGCCAATAAATCCATACAACTTCATTGATACTAAATTTAAAATAAAAATTTTAAAGTTAGAATATATTTCTTACAGGTTGGCCTATTAGATTAGTCAAAAAGAAAAATGTTTAAGGGGCTTCCCTGGTGGTCAAGCGGTTAAGACTCCGTGATTACACTGCAAGGGTACAGGTTCATTCACTGGTGGGAAAACAAAGACTCATGCCTCAAGGTGTAGCCAAAAAATAGCTTACATGTAAACTAGGTAGACTGTGATGAAATGGTACAAACTTTCTGGAAAACAATTTGGCAAAGTAAACCATAATAATTAAACACTGTATACATCTTTGACCCTGCAATTCCACTTCTGGGGTTTCACTTTAAATAACTGAGACATATGTACAAAGATTAAGGTATACAGATGATCATCGTATCTCTTTCACAACAGTGAAAAATTAGAAAAAATTCTGAATCTCTAAAAAGGTGAACTGGAGAAGTATAGTAAGGCATGTCCATATAGCAGAATACCATCACAGCTTTTAAAAACAGTGATGAATACTTACAAGTATAGTCATGAAAAGTGTTCACTTAGCATTAACACACATACTCACACAAAGTCTACAAAATAACATGTATAGTGTGATGTCATTTTTTTTGTGAAAAAAATACTTATAAATAATATACATATATAACAAACATATATACTTACATATTTTCTACTACAAAACACATGCAGATATCAAAATATTAAAGGAAGCTATTTCTGAGTACTAGAATTATAGGGCTGGATTTTAATATTTTATTTATTATTTTTCTACTTTATCTACAAAGATCATGTATTATTTATATAATGAATTAAAAGTTAAAAAGGAAAAAATATGTAAGAAAAAAATTCAAACAGCACTAGGCTTCATTAACCACGAAATCAGTACTTTACATTCAAGATAACCCAGTTACCTAGAGGAGCAGAATCAATTTTTTTCCAAGGATTGAGGTATGTTTTCTTTTCTTTCCAATCACAATATTCCTGACAACTATCACTAGGCTGGTCCCACGGCAATTCTAAAAGGAAACAAGACTCAGTTTTCTGAATGTTCAAATCATTTTACAGTAACGATTTTAAGGGAAAATAATCAGTGACACAAATCCATTAAAAGTTTCCTTCAAATTAATTAAACATGGTTTAAGAAATTTTAAAGACACTTCTAAGATAGATAATCCACTTCTGCCTTACTATTTCCAAAAGTATTCACATAATTTTAAGAGAGAGCTATTGTGATATTTCATTTAATAGCTACACATAAATCATTTTTTTTAATCTTTGGGATTAAAAGTTCCAACTTAGTTATAAATAGGTTAATATTAAAATACTATCACATAAATATGGAACTCCTTGATTTATTTCATTTATTTTGGTACAGGAAACCTAGCTTTTCAAAGGACAGGAATTTTATCATGATTAAATAGCTCTTACCTCCAGCCAACATTGCAGTAAGTACTATTCCACAGGACCAAACATCGACTGGCTCTGCATGAAATTCTTTTCTCTTTAGAAGTTCTGGAGCAACATATGGTAAAGTACCACACATCTTGTTCAACAAACGCTCCCGATTATTATGCCGAAACACGGTTGCCAAGCCAAAGTCAGAGATTTTGAGGTTATCTAAGTCAAAGGAAAAAAGGATGGTGCCGAATGAGAATGTTTGGTAAACAGGTACACTTAAAGGGGCTTCCCAGGTGGCACAGTGGCAAAAGAATACACCTGCCAATGCACAAGACTCGGGTTCAGTCCCTGAGTAGGGAAGATCCCTGGAGGAAGAAATCGCAACCTACTCCGGTGTTCTCACCTGGAGAATCCCATGGACAGAAGAGCCTGGCACGCTACAGTCCATGGCGTCACAAAGAGTCAGACCCAACTTAGCACACACACAAATACTAAAAGGAGTCAAGGTTTACTGGAAAACTGCTGGTGTCATTTTAGATTTGTGGAGCTTCTCTACCTTAAAGTGATCAAAAATAAATTGTAATGAAGAAATAAAAGACATCATCATATAACTAAAACTAGAAAAAGGCCTCATGGCTTCTACTAACTTAAGACAAATACTGTCAATATACAAACAGCATGGACCAGGTTAAAGAAAGATCCTGGAGTCAAAAGGGTCTTCTAGAAAAGAGCACTTAAACACTGAGAGCAGAGCCATGTCCTCACCCGGCTGTGCAGAGGCAGGAGGTATCAATAATACTCTAGGCACAACTTTCTCAGAGATGTAAAAACCCAGCTGGCTGGAAGGAAGCATATAAAGACACACAGAAACTTAAGATCCACAAGCCTCCAGAGCTTCTCATCAAGATGGCTATGTTTATAAAAGGAGGAGGAACTCTGTACAAAAAACAAATAAGAAGAGCAAATTTCCTCTCTAACTTCCCACCTTTAAGACACACAAACTGTAGGCAGAACTTTCACCTTAACTATACTTACTGAATATTTACCATAACTGAGTGGCAAATTAAGAAGCTGCCCTGAAATTTCAGTAATGCAAAAGCCTTGATCCTGCCTTTGTATGGCTGTATTAAAATGATTTTGGTAGCAGTGACAAAATACTCAACTTACCCCTTTCATCCAATAGGAGATTTTCTGGTTTAATATCCCTGTGAGTTATTCCAATACCATGCAGATAAACCTAAAAGAGAAGCAGAGGGAAGCATACCAGAACAGAGTAACTTATTTCACTAAAACTAATTTTAAATAAAAGGAAAAGAGACCCCTGTACCTACCACCCCTGCCATAAGTTGATGGAAGAACCTCTGAGCATCTTGTTCAGGCATGCCTATGTCTGGCTCTAAAAGAATTAATTGTGAAAGTTAGTTTATCAGGTAAATATAGTCAGGCATCAACCATATAGTCTCCTAATTCTAAAGTTAAACATCTATGATTGTACTTTTGCAAAAAGAATCTAATGCTTACAATGAAATGACTCTGGAGTCCACTTGCTAACAACTCACATTTCCCCAACTGTTAAGTGGCAAAAATAAGTTAACACCACAGGAAAATTAGAGAATAACAAAATATAACCCAAATCAAGAATGCAAGATATACCTTGAAAGCCCTGACTTGTACTACTTATGATTTACTTGATATCCTTCAAATTCACCCCTAATTTCTTCTAAATGTTATGCCAATATTTTCTCTTCTCCTGAATTGTAATTGTCAAAGTGGAAGCCTAGCAAATCTAAGCTGATTTCCTAAATATTTAACAACAAATTTAAATTTCATATAATTTCTCACACCACAAAGCCATACATGTCTGTGAACTTATTTCTTTTATACTCAACTCTTTTCTGAGATACATTTTTTTGGAGATTCTAATAATCACTTTTTAACTATTAATACAATATATCTAAGTAATAAATTTAGGTCCACAGAATATATTTTATGTACTTCTCGGTATTCTTCAATATCAAGACTTTTAAGTAGCAAAAACAGTTTGTATATATATATATATAAATCCTATAAACTTCTCAATTATTTCACTTATATATAACAACCTCTTATTTCAGATCTGTAAATGAATGCAACGATTTCATGAAACTAGAACGTCTACAAAGAAAAAACTGCATAGGCATAAAATACATTGCACTTATGATACTTCACACACCAAGAAACCACAGCTTATCATTCTTAAACTTTACAAAACAGAAATGCCAATCAAAATTACGTATACAACTTGGGGAAAAATTTCTTTGATGACTCTACATATGCATTCAGTGTTGATATAAGTTGCAAAAGCAAAAAAATTTACTCATTTCACTATTGCATAAGCAATTCTGAATAGACAGTGAACAAACAGAAGCCCCAAAATTAAGACAAATTTAAAAACTTATTTAGCAGAAGAATTATCTGAAATTTTTTCCATACCTATTCTATCAAAAAGTTCTCCCCCACTGCAGTACTCCAAAAATAGATACTGGATATTGCCTTCTCTTCTGTGACCATAAAATTTCACTACATTCTCATGATTTAACATTTTGTTGATACAGATCTCTTTCTTAATATTTTCTGGACAGTCTATGGCACGTTTCATATCCACAATCTTCACTGCAACTGCTTCTTCAGTTCTTCTATTCACAGCAAGTTGAACTCTAAAAAGAAAAAGGAAGAAATACAATATTCCAGAAATTTGAACTGTATTTCTTTTAAAACTTCAAAAGATTAAACATAACTCATCCAAAACTATTTTACCTTTATTACTTTCGCCACCTGGAAGAAACCACGGGAGTGGTTTCTGCCATGTCCTCAACAGATAATACTCCTTTCTGAAATGTGAAGTATAATAGCTAATGCTCCAAAGAAGTCATTATGTTGTACATCCAAAAGTAATATATAAACACTTGATAAATTAAAATGGAATAACAGCAATTCTAAGCCATCACACATATACATGCTCTATTCATTTAATTTCTCTTCCAGTTTTACTGAGCTATAATTGACATAAAGCACTGAAATGACTATCACAATAAATTTAGTGACAATCCATCATTTTTTAGATAAAAAATTTTAAAAATAGAAAAAATACCTTCCCTTGTGATGAGAACTCTTAGTATTCACTATTTTAAATTTCATGTATAACATATAGCAGTGTTAGTGATATTAATCATGTTGTACATTATATCCCTAGAACTTATTTATCTTATAACTGGAAGTTTGTACCTTTTAACCATCTTCATCCAAATCTCCCTCCCCCAACACCCTGCTCTGATAACTACAAATATCTTCTCTTTTTCTATGAGTCTGTTTTTGAAGTATAATTGACTTACAATGCTGTGTTAGTTCATTACGAAATAGTGATTTGATATTTGTATACATTTCAAAATGATCACCACTGTATGTCTAGTTAGGATAACCTACCATACAAAGATATTACATAATTACTGACTATACTCTCCAACTGTACATTTCATACTGGAGACTTATTTTGCAACTAGAGGTTTGTACAAGTATTTCTCTCCTCCTCCCACCACCCTCCCCACTGGCAACTTCCTGTTTGTTTTAACTCTGTTTCTCTTTTGTTACATTTGTTCATTTGTTTTGTTTCATCTAGTAAGTGAAACCATAAGTATTTGCCTTTCTCTGTCTGATTTATTTAAACTTAGCATAATACCCTTCAGGTCCATGTTGTCCCAAATGTCAAGATTTCATTCTTGCTCTATTCATTTAATTTTAATAACATAACCTAACATTTATTAATCTAATAGTATATATGTCTATGGTAAATGTTCTAAGTACCTACAGGATATGGACTATTCCTGCCATATTACAGCTGAAAAAACAGGCACACAAGGATATTTGGAAGCTCACCTAGGGATTTCCTTGGTGGTCCCCTGGTTAAGACCCCACCCCATGTTTCTACTGCTTGGGGCACAGGTTCAATTTCTGGTCCGCCTCCCAGCAAGCAGGATGGCACGGCCAAAAAAGAGCGAGCTTGCATAAACTTCACAAAACAAAGGCCGGTAATGTGGCTCCAGAGTCTGTTCATTTGCTCATTTAACCACTATGTTCAAACCCCATTAAAGAATATATGGGAGGAGAAAACCGACTTCAGAAATCTCTAAATTTTAGGGGAAAAATGTTTTGTTTTGCTCTGTTTTGTACCACCCACCCCCGCCTCCCCGAAAAAGAAGAAAAAACAAACAGTTAACCCTTACAAAAGACTGTGTAGCTTCAGTTTCCCAAAGTTTTGGAATTTGCATGCAAAGATCTGTTCTTTTGGGTGCCACAGTGTTTAAATAAACAATTCCAAAACAATGAATATGTACTCAAAGGAGACAGAAAACTAAAGCAAGTGTGAAGGCGGGTAAAACGGACTCAGACTCACTCTCCATAGGCACCTTCTCCCAGGGTTTGCACCAAGTCCCAGTCTTCCACAAAGGGCACTGCCATGACTCCACCAAGTCCCGCGGCTGTAAAAGCAGGAACCCAGAAAAGACGGTTGGTGAGGACGAGCTTCAATCACTTCTGAAGCCTCTGAGCTCCGCCTCTTGTCGTGATTCCCCCAAGATAAATCACAGCTCCTGGTTTCACATCATCCGTATTCTATCCAAGTCTTTTAAAGCATGAGCAAGTATCCTAAGCCGCGGCATTTGATTGATAACTCACAAGCCCCACTGCCCCGCAAGCCCGAAGCTGAAACCCCGCTTTCCAGGCGGCAGAGGAAATGTACCAGCAGCGCTGAGGAGGGCGACCAGGGCCGTACGGCGGGGACTGGCGAAGGGGGTGAGAAGTGAAGTCTCGGGTTAGGGTAAGCGGACGAGGGCTAGTGGAGGAGGAAATAACCGCGGGGACCGCAGCCACCCCTCCCCACCCGCTCACTCCCAATTCCCACCTCTACCCCGTCCCCAAGGTCAGGAGGAGCCCGGGGCGGGGCCAAACTGCCCCAAGAAGCGGAAGGAAGGGCTGGGTGGCACCCGGGCCGCCGGGCCCCAAACCTTGGGGGCTCCCAGCCAGCAGAGGAGGCTTCTCTCCAGTCCCGGTATAACGAGGACCCCGCCACCATACTCCTCCACCCTCCGAAACCACGCCTCCGAGGGAGCCTCTCCGATCCTTTGGGATCGGAACCGAGAACGTTCTGTCGCCGTGCCCCTCCTAAATCGTGTAGTCCCCGAACTCCAGCTCCAGGCGCCTTTCCCACTCTACCGGCCGCCCTTCCTCACCAGGCCGTCCTTTGCCCGCCACCACAGGAATCCAAATGCAGGGCTTTTCCCGCCAAAACTTGCTGGCGTCACATTGTCGCAAACGCGCGCTCCCTTGCCGTAAAGCAAAGAGGCGCGCGTTCCCGGTCCGGAGGACCTGCGGATTGGCAGCGCCTGGGGCCAGCGTTGGTCCTCCATGCCGGCAGAGACCTGCAGGACCAGGGTTACTTTGGAATCGGGACTAGATCCTGGCCTAAGAGGTTTCGGAACTGCGGACTGCATCGGTTGCGAATGACCTCCGGGCCCAAACGCGAACTGGGATCCGGCCTGTGACTCCGCCGTCCAGCCTCGCGCTCCCGGGGAGAGCGGCACCGCGGGGCTCGCTGCCCGCCACCCCGAACCCCCGAGCACCTCGCCCCGTAGCCTGGCAGGGTAACCAGGATCACACGCCGTAAGAGCTGCTTCAGTGACTTTAAAGCTCGGCCCAGGTAGAACTGGAGCCTAGAAGCTGGGAACAGCTGTTGAGAATTGATCCTGTTTAGCATGAAAGGAACTTTGTGATGTGAGCGAGAAGCATCGAACATTGGCCGCACCGCAGTGGGGTGGGAAGGCATCCGGGTGAAGAATGCTATTGTTTTGTGCCTTGAGATAATGTCAAGAAAACCAATTTTGCCCTGTCTTGTCCGAACTGGCACCAAAACAATACCTCCCACTCAACCTTTTTGAAGGAAGTGCAACTGCATAGCTTAGTTCTACCCACTGTCTTTAATGTGTAAGAAACAGGCAGATATAAGCAAAAACGCTGCGTTTTTACGAGGCAGTTTAAAAGCAGAATAACCAGTTTAGGTGGGAAAGTAAAGTCTGGGAAAGAGACTGGCTAGAGAACAAAACAATGTGGAAAAACTGAAATAGATACTCCCTCTCGACTGTAAAGACTAGGAACTCAAAGGCGCAAGTAAGGTCACCTTCATCAAACTTTCCAGTTCTTAAAGCTGGGCCACATACATTTAGCATAATTAGCTCTTGATTGTGATACTGGTAAAATAAGTGTACAGAAATGCACACACTGGATTTAAAGAAAAGTCAGGGACAAAAAACGAGTCAGAACACTTCGAAATTCAACCACGCTTGAGGTTTCAGGTAAGTTTTCCGGATTGTTTACTCCATTTTGTCTAGTTTCTGCACTACCTGTAAAAATAAAGAATATGAAGCGAAGGCCTGCACAGTTTTTTCTGTCTGGATACAGTAAAGGTATCTTACCCTGAAAGAAAAATGAGATATACACATTTCAGGCAGAGTATCAGCTAAAGATAGCATATGGGAGAATAGATACAAGAAGCTCTGTTCCTTTCTGAAACCTTACTAAAATAGTAAATTGTAATAGTAAATATTAAAATAAGTTAATGGAATATTTTACTATTTACTATTATATAAATTTTAACAGTATTAAATAGTAAATATTAATAGTAAATAGTAAAATATCCATTAATTTATTTTAATATTTACTATTACAATTTACTATTTTAGTAAGGTTTCAGAAAGGAATAAAGTTTACTATTTTAAAGTAGATGGCAATAACCTATAAATATAGATGAAAAAACAAAATTTTAACATAGATGAAAGAAGATGAATTCCATCTTAGAATTCCCTAAAGGCTCAAGTTGAATTAGTTATATGACAACATGTAATTGAATGGGGTTTTGCAGGTGGCACTAGTGGTAGAGAACCCACCTGCCAATGCAGGAGACACAAGACTTACAGGTTCAATCCCTGGGTTGGGAAAATCCCCTGGAGTAGGAAGTGGCAATCCACTCCACAACTGAGTACACAACATACATGTAACTGAATGAGGCAAAAATGAGGTGAAGTCGTTCAGTCATGTCTGACTCTTGGTGACCCTATGGACTGTAGCCCACCAGGCTCCTCCATCCATGGAATTTTCTAGACAAGAGTACTGAAGTGGGTTGCTATTTTCTTCTCCAGGGGATCTTCCCAACCCAGGGATCAAACCCAGGTCTCCAGCATTGCAGGTAGACACTTTATCCTCTGAGCCACCAGGGAATCCCTGGTGGTGAATGAGGCAAAGGTGGGGCTAAAAGATGGTGAAGGGCTATTTATGAAGCAAACAGATCCCTGGTCTCCTCCCTTTTCTGTGTAGGGAATGAACTGCCCCTCCCTAAAGTAGCTCCTAGACTTGAGAGGGAAAATACATGGTTATCTAAACTGCAGAGGATCAGGCCCAGTTAAGTCTTGGATACCTAACTGAAAACAAAAGTATTAAGTTTATGTACTGCAGGTTATTTTCCAATCCCAAAGAAAGGCAATGCCAAAGAATGTTCAAACTACCTCACAACTGGACTCATCTCACACGCTAGCAAAAGTAATGCTCAAAATTCTCCAAGCCAGGCTTCAACAGTACATGGACCATGAACTTCCAAATGTTCAAGCTGAATTTAGAAAAGGCAGAGGAACCAGAGATCAAATTTCCAACATTCGTTGGATGATCGAAAAAGCAAGAGAGCTCCAGAAAAACATCTACTTGTGCTTTATCGTCTACGCCAAAGACTTTGACTGTGTGGATCACAACAAACTGTGGAAAATTCTTCAAGAGATGGGAATACCAGACCACCTGACCTGCCTCCTGAGCAATCCGTATGCAGGTCAGGAAGCAACAGTTAGAACTGGACATGAAACAGCAGACTGGTTCCAAATTGGAAAAGGAGAACATCAAGGCTGTATATTGTCACCCTGCTTATTTAACTTATATGCAGTGTACATCATGCAAAATACCAAGCTGGATGAAACACAAACTGGAATCAAGATTGCAGGGAGAAATATCAATAACCTCAGATATGCAGATGACACTACCCTTATGGCAGAGTGTGAAGAAGAGCTAAAGAGCCTCTTGATGAAAGTGAAAGAGAGTGAAAAAGCGGGCTTAAAACTAAGCCACTAAGATCATGGCATCTAGTCCCATCACTTCATGGCAAATAGATGGAGAAACAATGGGAACAGTGAGAGACTTTATTTTGGGGGCTCCAAAATCACTGCAGATGGTGACTGCAGCCATGAAATTAAAAGACACTTGCTCCTTGGATGAAAAGTTATGACCAACCTAGACAGCATATTAAAAAGCAGAGATGTTACTTCGCCAGCAAAGGTCTGCCGAGTCAAAGCTATGGTTTTTCCAGTAGTCATGTATGGATGTGAGAGTTGAGCACCAAAGAATTGATGTTTTTGAACTGTGGTGTTGGAGAAGATTCTTGAGAGTCCCTTGAACAGCAAGGAGATCCAACCAGTCCATCCTAAAGGGAATCAGTCCTGAATATTCATTGGAAGAACTGATGCTAAAGCTGAAACTCCAGTACTTTGGCCACCTGATGCAAAGAACTAACTCATTGGAAAAAACCCTGATGCTGGGAAAGATTGAAGGTGGGAGGAGAAGGGGACGACAGAGGATGAGATGGATGGAATCACCGATTCAATGGACATGAGTTTGAGTAAACTCCGGGAGTTGATGATGGACAGGGAGGCCTGGCATGCTGTAGTCCTTGGGGTTGCAAAGAGTCAGACACGACTGAGCAACTGAACTGAACTGAAGGTTAAACCTCTGAGCCTGTTTTCCTCACCTGACTCCCAGAAGTCTGGCAGCCTGGCTTATATTCTTCCAAGAACATAAAAGCCTTCTCAAGGAAACCCTACCTACACAGAAAAGATTTAAAAATACTGATATCAGGGACTTCATAATGTTAACAACTCAGCCAGATCACAGGAGAATGAAGCCCACATTCAATAATTCTCTACCCTACCCCCAACAGACCTTCCAATCACCTTTTTAGGGTCCTTCTTTTTAAAAAGAGCAAACAAGACTTTGAAGAGGACTTTAGTACGAAAGATGTCCAGAAAAAGGAATATTCAAACACAAAAAGCTCTTGGATATTAAAAAAATATGACAGTAGAAAAAAAAACAAAATAGATAGTAAAAAATGTTTAGGACATCTCTAGAAGGAAGAATAAACATAGAAAACAGAGGAATATAAGAATATTGTAAGACTAATACAGGAAGTCCAAACTCCAAATAACTTGTTTTTCAGAATGAAAAAGGGAGTTGGGGAAATCCAGAAACAGCTCAAGGAAATTTCCCAGACTGAAAAACTTGACCTTCCATATTTTTTTCGTATTTTTCCGAGTTTAAAGTACCCAGCTTTCTGGATACATTATTGGGAAAATTTCAAATTTTACATAAAAAGGGAAGAATACTAAGAGTTCTGGGGAGGGAATGAGATGGAATGGACACATACAAAAAATTAAGAATCAGAATATCATTGCACTTCTCAGCATTTGGAAGACAGAAAACAATGGGCCAATGCCTTCAAAAATAATTCTAAGGAAAAGTTATTCCCAACCTGGAACTCTACACCAAGTCAACCTATGATTCAAGTGTGACAACAGACACTCAAGATCTCAAGCAATTATCTCCCATACACTTTTTCAGGAAGGTAGTGGTAATAAATTAAGAAAGAAGGCAGGAGATTAACACACAATATGACAGTGAAGGGATCCATGACACCAAGTCCAAACTGGAATATACCAAAACAAGACATTTCTAAGAATGAATACTTAATGAATCTGAACATACTGTAAGGAAGCTGGCACAAATGAAGGAGAGCCTGGGGAGAAATTAGCGACAAGAACAAAACACAAATGAAAACCTCTCCCCCCTCACAAGTTATACAGAAAAAGAAGTTGTTGCAGTATACCACATGGTCTCGTTGTGAGAAGCCTTAACGTATAAACTACTGAGTTAGCCTAAACCATAACTGTAAAAGAACCTTGAGATGGCAAGGATGTATCCATGGGAATAGCAGGATGGTGAAAAAGAGCTAAATCCTCATTTTCCACACCAAAAAGTCAACAGATAATACTAAAAATTGAAGAGCCAACACATAGCAAAATAAAGCAAGTTATTTAATCATATGGAGGTAAGTAATGTGAGAATCAGCAGAGTTGAAAGTACCTGAACTTTTGGGTACCTCTGATGGGGGTCGAAAACAGTGTTGTCTCTTTTTAGAATTAATGTTTTTTTACACTCAGTTCACTCTAACAGTGGAAATTACATGTAATTAAAAAAAAAATAGCTTCATGTAGTCTAGAAATTAACAAAATTAAAATCATAAGAGCAGCAAGTGCAGTGATAAATTAAAGGCTTATCATCCTTACAGAGGAAAACACTAATGATCTCTGGTATTACTCCCACTGGTTTAAAAAAAAAAACAATAAACAACAAAAACCCACCTTAGAACCACCTCTTCCTCTAGGGAGGAATTCTGTATATAAATCAAGTTATGTATTTACATACAGTAAGTCAAGTCTTAACATCAGTTCTAAATCTTACCCACAATTGAAGCACCTGGTTTATAAACTGGCTTGGAAGGCTGCTTCCTGGGTACACAGGTAGACCTGAGCATCCTTTAGGAACACCACTTTGACTTATCTGAAAGTCAGGTCATTGCTCCCATTTCTTAAACAGGTAACAGTAAAGAGTTACCTTGTGTTCTTTTTTTTTTTAAATAACTAAGGGTTTATATACATCACTGACATAAGTCTTAAAATACCCTAGTATAACTGAACATAAGGCTGTTTGTCCTGACATTAAACATGATGGGACTCCTGTGCTTTCTGTAGCTAACTTGGCAAGGCCTTCAAAACCAGATCATAGGGCTTCTTAGTAAGATGTAATAATAAAGAGGCAGAGACGAAGGGACAAGAGAGGCTCACCTTTAGGTAAAACCAACAGGCTGAGGGCACAAGCTTAAGGAAACCAGCAGAGACATGGACTCTCTCATGGGTGAGTGAGAGTGCTGAAATGAAAAGCACGATTTCAAAGAGATATGTATGGTTATAAGTCAGCTAATTCAAGAACACCTGCTGACCATCAAGTTCTGTACATACATTGGAAGAGATTTTCCTCTCCATTGAGAACACTGTACTGTTTGCCTTAAGTCTTCAAAACTATTGATTTAGTCTTCCTGGATTTACTCCTGCTCAAAAATAAAAACACACAAAAATACCTAGGCTAGTCCCGAAGACGACTGGTGTGATCAGGTCTGGGTAGTCACCTCCTGTCCCTTGTTGTCAAAGTACCTCTAAGGACAAGCGATGTTGAGAACAGAGACATCCTGGCAACACAGCTGCCTTTCCTGCCCAGAAATGGCACTCCTCTGGTCCCGTGAACTTTTATTCATTCAGTAAATGCTTAATGAGCACCCACTATGTGCAAGGCATTGGGCTAGGTGCTGCAGTTTTTGAAATGACAAAATTGTATATGTAGGATCGGCGAGTCATTGATACTTTTCCTGATTTGAGAGACAGAGAATGACAGAATGCCCCATACATGGCTCATTTAGAGAGCTAAGACCACAGATGAGGTCTGCTCTCTGTCCTTCCACCAGCCCAGCATAAACTTTAGGCTTCCTCAAATCAGTTATAAGTCAAAACAAATAAGGCACATTTAAAAAAAATTCCCCCCTTTAATTGATCAAAGTAAAGCCATGACATTTCATTTGGTAACCTGCTCAGAATTATAAAGATCATTCCATTTGGCCCAGCCCACACTGCCCAGGGCAAAACCTCCGGACAATTCTAATCTCATCGCGCTCTGTTCTTATAAACTGCATATTTTTTAAACTGTCTTCAGCGCCCTAAATGGGACGCACTCAGTGCGAAGCAGATCAGAACCAGACGTAACATTTATGTTCTTGACAAGCCGCGGTTATCCAGGTCCTTCACCTGCAACACAAAGGTATCAGGTTTAACGTTTACAATCGGGTCAGCAAGGGAGAGCTTCTCTACTGAGTTGGGTTCACCCAGACAGGAAGGGGTTACACTGGATTCTGCTCCCTGGTTTGGCTCTGGTGTGAGACTAGCTACTCTCTGCTGAGCTTCTCAGGGTACCTTGTAAGGAGCTGTGTAAATGATCTATACTCCAAATATAGCAAAGGTTCTCAACCTTTTCTTATGTAAGAGATATAACACACTTCTATGTGACTCTGAGGGCTGAAGAATTGATGCTTTTGAACTGTGGTGTTGGAGAAGACTCTTGAGAGTCCTTGGGATGCAAGGAAATCCAACTAGTCCATCCTAAACGAGATCAGTCCTGACTGTTCACTGGAGGGACTGATATTGAAGCTGAAACTCCAATACTTTGGCCACCTGATGCGAAGAGCTGACTCATTTGAAAATACCTGGATGCTGGGGAAGATTGAGGGTGGGAGGAGAAGGGGACGACAGAGGAAGAGGTGGTTGGATGATATCACCAACTCAATGGACATGAGTCTGGGTAGACTCCAAGAGCTGGTGATGGACAGGGAGGCCTGGCGTGCTGCTGTCCATGGACACGACTGAGGGACTGAACTGAACTGATGTGACTCTCTATGCCATAAATTCTTCAGTGGGAGAGAAGAAAACATAGTTCAAACACACACACACTCTCCTACTACCTCCCCCGTCCCCCAAGCCTGATACTCACTAAAACAGATCAGGCCTAACCCCAGCTGGGAAAATATCACTGCAACCACCGCCAGAAAGACAGCAGACTGGGGTGTCTACTAAGAACAATCTAAAATAAAAGAAAAATTCCAAGGAGGCTGTTTTTCAGACACAGAAATATCCCTATTTTAAAAATACGTGGCCTATTTTTAAGCACTAGAGCTGCTTTCACAGTGCAACACCTGCTCACCTTGTATATCCTGACCAACCAATGTTCTGTGGTGTATGCTTCTTCTAGGACATCAAGCTCGAAGTCTTTATTCCCAATCTCAGCATTCCGGACACGGTCATAGCCTAGCGGACGCTCTAGAAAGGGAGGAAAAAAGACGACAAATTTCTTTCTACAGTGCTCGTTTCCTAAGGAAACAGTAAGTCCATGTGGTAAATCATCCCACTGGAATGTTACTCCCTAGCATGCAGTTTGTGTAGAGAGTAGGGCCTACAAAAAAGGACATCAGTCAGGAAGGGCAAATTGAGTGCTATCCTAACTCACATCTTCCTCAAGATGGTGCTTGGCAGAGTCCACGGAGTTATCTCTTCTAAGAGACAGAGGCCTGACCTCTAAGCACCTCTATTCCTGAGGACTACCACCCAGGACCTCTGGGACACACTAGTAACCCTTCCATGGGACAGAGAACTTTCCAGATGTCACAAGCCTGCATCCACTTCAAAAACAGTCCCAAATGCAGAACCAAGACATTGTGAGTCAGAAGGAAAAACTTAAAGTAAGCACATTCTTTTCAATTTATCTGAAGAAATGTAAAGTCCTTTATCATACTCTATTCCCTTTCATAATCCTTTCTCCAGTATAACACCTTTTACTGAGAGGTAATAAAAAGTAATGAATAAAAGCATAGACTTTTCTAGAGCCAGACTGCCTAAGTTTAACCTGACTCAGCACTAGTTATAGGACCTTGTGCAGTTAAGGAACCTATTTGTACCTCAATTTCATCACATATAAAATGGGAATATTAAACCTTTAGGACTGCTGTAAGGATTACATGAATTAGTAGAAATAAAGCATTTAGAGCAGTGCCTGGAATATAAAAAATATCCTGTATGTGTTAGCTACTACTCTTCTTACTGTTGTTATTAAGGCTCTCAGGAATCACTTACTGGCTTCTGTGTAAACCTGTCCAAATCGGTAGTAACACATCTTGTACATAAGGCAGTTGAGCAGCACTGGAGAGCCCTCACGGTCCACACGGAACTCCCCAGTTGGAGTATAATAATCGTGCTCCTTGATGTGTTTCCCGGTATCTGTGCTCCCTCCAATCCGGACCATCCACAGAAATTTGTTGATGTCTAGAAAAAGAAAAAACTATTTATCACCAAGGTAGCTACAGCTAAATCACATAATGAAAATTCACTATTTCTAATACTTTCCTAGTGGCATACAGTACCATTTAATTCTAAAGTTATAAAAATAAGAAAGCTACTAATTAGCGTTGTGATGAGGGTGAAAGAAGAGAGTTGAAAAAGCTGGTTTAAAACTCAGCATTCAAAAAACTAAGATCATGGCATCTGGTCCCATCACTTCATGGCAAATAGATGGGAAAAAAGTAGAAGCAGTGACAGATTTTATTCTCCTAAGCTCCAAAATCACTGTTCATGGTGACTGCAGCCATGAAATTAAAAGATGCTTGCTCCTTGGAAAGCTATGACAAACCTAGATGTGTATTAAAAAGCGGAGACATCACTTTGCTGACAAAGGTTTGTATAGTCAAAGCTATGGTGTTTCCAACAGTCATGTAAGGATGTTAAGAGTTGTACCACAAAGAAGGCTAACTGTTGAAGAACTGAAGCTTTTGAATTGGGATGCTAGAGAAGACTTGAGAGTCCCTTGGACAGTATGGAGATCAAACCGATCCATCCTAAAGGAAATCAGGAATGACTGCTGCTGAAGCTGAAACTCCAATACTTTGGCCACCTAATGTGAAGAGCTGACTCACTGGAAAAGACCATGATGCTGGGAAAGATTAAGGGCAGGAGGAGAAGGGGGCGAAAGAGGATGAGATGGTTGGATAGTGTCACCAACTTACTGGACATGAGTTTGAGCAAACTCCAGAAGACAGTGAAGGACAAGGGAAGCCTGGCATGCCCTACAGTCAATGGGGTCACAAAGACTCGGACAACTGAGCATGCATGCAGGCAAATCAGAACTACAATGAGCCATCACCACATACCTGCTAGAATGACTCTCATCAAAAAGAAAAAAGTCATGCTGGTAAAGATGCTAAATAAAGGGAATCCTTGTGCACTGCTGGTCATAATGTAAACTGGTACAGACACTATAGGATTCAGTAGGTAGGTTCCTCAAAAAATTCAAAATAGAACCACCATGTGATCCAGAAATCCCATTTCTTACCCAGAAGAAATGAAATCACTATTTCCAAGAGAAATCAGTATTCACTGCAGTATTACTCAAAATAACCAAGATATGGAAATAACCTCAATCTATCAACAGATGATCCAATAAGAAAATGTGGTAGACAGATATATACATATGTCTCATGGAATACTAAAGATTCCAGGGAACCATCTATTTCTACCACCTATGTGTGTACATTCACATATATAAAAATACATATGCATACAAACACATAAGCACACAAACATACATACACAAAAAACTTTCTGTACTATTTGCATATATTATTATCATCAATAAGAAAAACACCTAGAGTCACACACAACCAAACAGTGCTGAAGCAACTGTTTGTGAAAGTGCAAGTCCACAGGAACACATCCCTGCTATAGTCATTCCTCCTCTGCCTGTACAAGACACACATAGAAACTAGTCTTACTACTTTATACTGACACTTTATACATTCTATGCAGGTGAATCTGTTAAGTCTGTCCATATCAGAAGCCAGATATAATCTAAATTTGAACATCTCTAAGAAACAACCATACAGTCAAAGAAAATTAAGACAGAAATTAGAGGTAATTATTAACTACAGGAATCAAGTTATTCTAGATAAGAATGTTTAACCATGGTGTAAAGGTTGACTCAGCAGTACATAGTACTTATTTAGTCAAGATTTTGAAAACGCTTTATCTGGATTTAACCAAAAACTGATCATTAACTCTACTGAGAAGATGCAAGATGGAAAGGGGGAGAGGGAAATACAGAGAACTAAATTCCTTATCTAATATAAGAAGTTGATAAAGCGTATCTAAAATGATTGATCCGTGAATAGAATATACATATTATTTAGAAATATGAATATAAGTACTAGAAGAAATAACTGAAGGAATAATTTTCCTGGGAACTGATATTATAAGGTGGTTTAGAAACAGAGGACTACCATTTTTATTATAAACTTTCAGAAGTGTTTAACCTTTTAAAGTTGAAACAGGTATTGCTTTAAGTTTTTCAAGCTTTTTTTGAGGCAGAGAACTATATTTGGATGATTCTTCTAACCCTGGGATTTGCTAATAATTATAGGGAACATGGTTAACATATGCCATATATATATGTATATATACACACACACAAACACACACATATATATATGAGAAACATTTTAAGTTGGGAGATGACTCTATGGCTTAAACCCACTAAAAAATGCTAATTCTTAAGCTCATTCTCAGAGGCCTTATGTTCTTTATTGTTCACTGCTTGTGGAACTATTCCTAGGTCTTCAGACAATTATAGCATGCCACACTTACATGGTGCTTCCCTGGAGGCTCATGGTAAAGAATATGCCTGCAATGCAGGGGACCCGGTTCAATCCCTGGGTTGGGAAGATCCCCTGGAAGAGGAAATGGCTACCCACTCCAGTATTCTTGTCTGGAGAATCCCACAGACAGAGGAGCATGGCAGGCTACAGTCCATAGGGTCACAAGGAGCCGGCCACAACCAAAGTGACTAACACTTTGACTTTTGATACTTGCATGAGAATTCTTTACATCTACTTCCTACTTGTTTGAAACAAAAATCAAAATAACCAAACCTCAAGTTGCAAATATGTATCAACTAAGAAAATATGTTGATAATATTAGTAAAAGGATAGAAAAGTAGGAGATTCATCTAGTTTTCTTAGCCTTGTAGCTAGAAATATAATCAAATTCATTACCATCTGAAGAATACCCAGTGAGGCCTCCGAAAATGACCAGCACATAGCTGACATCAAGCTCCCTCATGATCTCATAGGCTTTTTCTTCTGTGGATGCCATTGCCTGGAAAAACACATGCACATTTCTCAGAGCAAAATTCCAGGCCATATGATCCCTCATGGAGAAGTATTTCCCATGAGACCCTGTGCATCAAACACTCAAATGACCCCTTCACCTTACCTGCCCTACTCGAGATATATGGGTATTATTCCATGTGTTATTATCCACTAAAATCGTCCGATTAGCCATAGCTGTAATCTGGTAGCCATAATCCCACCATGACATGACCTTCGCATCCTGAAAAGAATAAGAAATTGAAATTACAAGTGTCTTACCAACTCCAAAAATCAAATACTAGGAATGGAACGGCATTTGACAGGAATTAACATACAGCTAATTAATTTCTTTACAGAATCAGTTCAGTTCAGTTCAATCGCTCAGTCGTGTCCGACTCTTTGCAGAATAACATATGCCTAACAAGAAAATAAATCTTGGCACCTGGTCCTACCTTTGTATACCATAATGAAATCTCAATGCAAATTATACAATCCAACATTGCCAGTATTTTCATTCCAGATCATCTTATAAAAATAAACATAATGGCGTGGGAGGTATAGGGGGCTGTGTAATATTTCCAAATAAACAACTTGGTGTCATCAGAGAAATGACCATAAAACATGATCATAAACAATATCACAAAAATCAGCCCCCTAGGTAGGGGTGGTAGGGGGTGGGAGGGGATAAATCACAAGATATGACGAATAAAGAAAAAGAAACTCTTATAAAAATCTAACTCACAATTGCCAATCTCAGTAGCTACTGGAAAGGAAATGACTTCAGATGCTCCAAAGGTATAAACCAAAATATTAAAAGTGGTTATCATTAGGTGATCCTTTATAGAAAATTTGTGTCTTTGTCTTTTACTTGTTTTCTGATTTTTCTACAATAAACATGCATTAGTTACTGTTAACCTTTCTCTTTTATAATTGGGATGGCCTACCTCACAATATCACCATGCTGTCAATACAAGTGTCCAAGCAGAGTGCAGATAACCTGAACCAGGAAGGCCTGCTACAGAAGACATCCTGACTTGAATTGAGGTTGACCTTTAAGGCCCATTCAACACCAGGTTCTCTAGTTCCAATTTCTCCAAGCTTTCTACCATGTAAAAGCTATTTGATTCACTTTAATAGCAAATGTCTTTCCCTTCCTCCTACCCCACAATCCCACACCTCCCAAATTTTCACCTCTGGAGTATTGTGACGAAGCCAATAGTACGCTTCTCGAAAATCATCAAAAATGATCCTACTGCCATCTCCACCACGAGCAGACAGCACAATGGAGGGAGAAGAGTAGGCCTCACTGGTCACCCAGGTTGAATGAAAGGTGTAGGTGATAAGAAAGAAAGCCATGACCAATATCATGCCACTTGCCACCTAGACAAGGAAGAAGAATTGTGTTGTAAACCAAATTAAATTTACATAGCACAGAACAGCTTCTTACACACAGTCAATGATTTAGAAAAAATGAACCAAAATAAGTCAGAGGCTACATGAATTAATTCTGACCTCCGGTGACAGTGCTCTACTTTACTCCCCCTCAGTCAAAAAAACCCCACAGATGCTTGCACATGCACGTGCACACACACACACACAACACACACAGTTCCCCCAGCCTGTTCTGTGTTGCTTCTCACTTCATTCTTAATAGGGTAAGTAGAATCCTGCTGTTTCTTGCTCTTCTTGTCTGGTCGACTTATGTCCAAATTCTTCATGTAAGTGGACAGCACCTGAGAGACTCCAATGCCAGAAAGAATGCACATAACAGGTGCCAACACCAGCATCAGACGCACCTAAAAAAACAGGAAGCAAGATCACAATCTAATCGGTGTTTTACAAACTACAGATTTCAACCTATTAGTAGATGATGACATCCGTTTAGGAGTATTCAACAAACATGGTCTGTCAATGGAACAGAACAAAATAGGAGAGAAAATACTTGACACACCTATAGTAGAAGTTATGTGGTTTTTTTTTAGTTTTTTTCCCCCAGTTCTTCATGTATGTATGTATGTACATCCTGAGTAACGATAGGCTATAAAAAGTATTTCTTAATTGTGGTTTGGAATCAAAAAAGTCTGAGAAGTACTGTCTTAACTGCAATATATAAAATTTCTCCTCTCTTTTAAGAACCTGGCACTCGGCACCCAAGCCGTTAAGAAAAAAAACATCATCTCCCTTGTTGAGACTGCAGGAAGAGAGAGGAAGGAACCTGCACAGGGCCTCTGCCTGACACAAGGGTATGAAACCAAGAAAGGTGGGCCTCACAATCAGAAAATGTGAGCACCCAATACATTGCTGGGAAAGACCAACAACAGCGAGCAGCTTTATCATTTAGCCCCTCAAGTACTCAGAGGGAAGCCTCTGCACAATTGTCAGCACTGAATCCTCCCATGCCGGGGGAAGAAGAAAACCCCCAGAGTCAAGGATGGAAAGGTTCACCAGGACTGAGGGGATTCCTCACCATTACAGCTGAAAAGTACATGCTGGTCACACCATACATGATGATGAAAATCCGGGCATCAGACAGGTTGCTAAAGCAGTAATAGAGGCCAACTACAAAAATAAAGGGAAAAAAGAAGTGAAGAGCTGGAAAAACAATCAGACACATGCAAAGATGTTACTATGGCACTCTAAAATAGCACAAAATCTGAAACCATCTAAATGTCCAACATAAGGGAGGTAGTTAACTATAGCATATTTATAAAGCAGAATAAAACACATCAATTAAAATACTGCTGCATAAGTTTATGGACCATTTGCCACCTTCTTTACATACCTCTGTACTTAAAAAATTAACAAATGCTGTATCTTAAACACTAGTTCACTGACATAATCCTAAATAACATAAATTATGATTAAAAAATTTTAAAAGTCAGGAGAAAAACTGTTATCATCTGACTTTTAATCAGTAAACAACTGGATGAATATACATTCCAAGTGTTAACAGGAGCAACAGGTATGTGGTGAGAACTCCTGAAACTTTAATATTTGCCTCTGTTTGTATAAAAGACAACTTATTTTCATAGTAAGAAAAAAATATAAAGTTATTTCAATTAAAAAAAAAGTTCCCTATCAGTGGTAAATTCTTATATCTGAACTGGCCAGAAGGTAAGTTAGATGAAGAGGCTTTACAATCAGCTATGCCTACTGTCAAAATTCAATACTATTAAGAAGATAAACAGGAAGGAGCCAGGGATGACGGGTTGGGTACACTAGAAGTACTTAAAATTGAATTGAATTTTATAATACAACTGAACAAAAAACTATGAGACTCTGAGTTTGCCAGTATCTGCAATTGTTCAACTTCTGATTTCCATTCTGCTTCAAATATTAGAAAAATGTGTTTAAGCCATCTTCTGTACCACATAAATATACAGGCAAAAAACGAAAACAATAAAAATATAAGGATGGGGGTATTTTACTTATTTTGAATCAAATGATTCTTACAAAGAAGACCACTTCAGAACAAGGCAGACAGACCTGGGAACATGAAGACAAGAAGCTGCAGGTCGAAATAGTATGAGGACCAGGTCGTAGGCTGATGCTCAGACACAGAGGCAATGATGGGGATGTTGTTCTTAGCGTAAGAAGGATCCAACAGTGAGTAGAAACGCCCCGTCCAGGGAGATATTTTTCCTGGCAGTAAAGAGGCAACAAATATTTCATAATTACTTTTGAAACAAAATAACATCTGATCCTAACTAATCATAACTTTCCATTTTAATAAGATTCTCTGACACAAAGGAGGACTAAGTTTTTGTCTAAATGTCACAAATAACTTGAGAATTTCACTGATTCCTTTCTTTCAAATTTGAGAGTACTTATGTCAGCACAGTCAGCAGAATAAAGTCAGGCTGTAAGTAAACTCAGAGAAGGAAGGTGGAAATGCTTCCTGGAAGGGTTAAACTAAATCTGGTCAAACCAAGGCCTATGCTATAAACTAAGTCAAGCTGTCCTTCAGTGTTGCTCTGAATTAGACAATACAGAGTCCTGGGCAAAATCAAATCAGACTCTGCGACATCTATGTGAGGAAAATGTGCCATGCTAACCAAACTAAACAGACATAGTTCTGTCATATAGGATTAGATGAAGTCATGTTGTAGGGCAGACAATGTTAGGATTTCTCCCAACCTACCAATATACCAATAGGAAAGAAAAGGACAAAAGAAAAAAAGAGAAAGATAAGCATGGTAAATATAGTTCTGTTACCAAGTGTGACTCTTCTGAGATTAAATACTGATCGAATAAGATCTTTCTATGCTGAATCCAAATACTGGCTGACAAATGGATTGAGTGTGTAATATGGATTTAATATTCATGAAATCAAGAGAAATGGGAGAAAAAGAATGCATTTTCCTGTGGTCAGGAAATAACCCATGTTTTTGGAGTTTATGCTATGTTCATACCCATTTACACTTAATACTAAAAGCCTTTCCTACCTGTCAGCATGAGGAGAGCTCCAATGGTGAGAAGGACAAAGCCCACCAGGGAGATGACACTTCGGAAAAGAACTTCAAATTGCTGTGGATTCAACTTGCTGCGCAGATAATCCACAAAGGCGTGAATCTGGCAGAGACCAAAGACCCCAAAGGCTGCCATGTGCTCCGATGAAAGGACAGGCTGTAGGTGAAAGCAGATGTGTGAGCAAGTCAGGAAAACAATGGGTCCAGCCTTGACCTGAATTATCCAGACCAAGTTCAGACCAGAGTCCAATGAGTTCTGAGGCTACCAAGGAATTAGGGCCAATCAAGGAGAGGGTCTAATTCACCTGCCATATTCCCACAGAATACCTGGAGTCCAAAGTGTACCATACTCTATCAATATCACATGTCTCGCCTTTGCTCAGGCTATTTCTTGAGCCTTGTTTGTAATTTTCTCATTTTCCCAAAATATGCATTCATTGAAATTCCCATCATTCAAGGCCCCAAGCAAATACCATTGCCTCCTACTCTGCCAAGCTGAAATACATCGCTCTCCTCTACATTCCACACACCTTAGATCTCTCCTGTAACTTAAGACAAACGGTTCTCAAACTCCACCGGGCAGCATAATCATGGTGGAGTGAAGAGGGGGTGTTTAGACACAGACGGCTGAGCCCCACCACCAGAGCTTCTGAAACTCAGGAGATTCAAATCCAGAATTTGCATTTCTAATGAATTCCCTGATGCTGCTGATCCAGGGCTACATTTCTAGGACCGCTACGCCAGAGAGCTGCACGGGTGTCTTTCCCAGCAAGACTTCCTTAGGGACCAGGGTTACATCTTTACTTTTTACATTTCCCAGTTATTAGCAAACTGCACACTGTAGGGGATGAGCAAAGAAAACACTTGCTGAACTGAATAAGGGTTCCACTTTCATAAGAATATTACATGAGGCTAATTCATGTCAATGTATGACAAAAACCACTACAATATTGTAAAGAAATTAGCCTCCAACTAATAAAAATAAATGAAAAAAAAAAGAATATTACATGAAAAATCACACATACCACATCATTCCTCTGATTTAATAGCTGTCTCTTAACCCTATGGAGTAATGTGGCTAAAAGGTCTATGTACTGCTTCCTAAAGGACTTAATCACTTGGCCCCAATAAGAAGTTCAGGGGTCATTACTACTGAATGGGATCATTCACATTAAGGACTGAAAACGACCACTGTGATCACTCGCATCAACTCAGTTCTACCAAAATACCCCTGCTTCTCCCCAAACTTAAGCTAAATTAAGAGCAATTAAACTGCATGAACAAACATTAACACACTCAGGAGGCAGACTTTATTGACCAACGATTCTGTTGTTTCAGTTAACACAAGCAGTCCAAGGTCAGACCTGTAAGTTTTAACATCCTCACCAGAATCCAAGATAAATCAATTTAGTTGCAGATGCTGAGGGAAAAAGTGGAAGAAACTAAAGACCCCACTCAGTATAGGGCTCACCTGGAAACCCACAAAGGAGATCTGCATGGAAAGAATGGTGCCCAGGCAGTAGACAGTACAGTACGCCACGTAAATCCGGTGGGAGAAACGTCCTGTGAGCATCAGCACTAGTACATGAAGAGGGATCAAATTGATCAAGAACACGTAACCTCCCCAGGAAGAGACCTAGGACAGGATGAAAAAGGACAGTTCCTCTCAGGGCTCCTCCTTGTCACCTGTGACCTTTTTAAAGAACATCTATTTATGGTAACCAAAAACTTTATTAACACCAACTGGTTTAAACAGTTTAAGTAACTGACCCCTTTAAACAGGAAAATCAAATTAAACCCATTACTGTAACTCAGTCCTCTGTTCTCTATGGCTCCTATCCTTGAGATCACAAAACGAAAGGCCCCTAACCCTCGGCATTAATCTGGATGTGACCTACTATAAGGTCACATGGAGGATTTGGAGATACATGCAAAATGTGGGCAAGCAGAAACAGTGAAGGGAAGTCGTCTCAGGGTTTATGAAAGATTGAACAGAAAAAATATATTAGGAAAGGAAAAATTTAAGGGAAACATATCAGAAAAGAGAGCTGGCAAACCAACATGTATCCCTAAGAAATACAGTATCTGGAGACCTCTAAAAATTAAAAAAAATTTCCTCTATCTTATCATCTGCCTGCCTTGGGTTAGGCTTTGTATGGACACAAGAGACAATAAAGGCTTCTGTCCTCTGCTCCATGGTCTCAAGCCCCAAGAGCTACTTCCAATTTACATCAGTTGATCCCAACAGGTATGCAGACATAGAGAGACTCCTAGAAGAAGGAAGTGAAGAGTTACCATGTAGAAGTAAGCAAGGGCACACTTTGCTGCCCAGTAGATGGAACCAGTCTTGACTGCTTTGATCCACATGTAGTAGGTGAGCAGCATGCAAAAGATGGCAATCCCTGTAGAAAGAACACAAAATTAAACAGAAGGCCACACTAGGGTATTAAATACTGATCTGCAACAAACTACCTGCATATCTCAGACCTACAACCCATTAACAGTGTAATTACTCTACATCACTTTGTCTTAAGTTTCTGGTAAAAAAAAAAAAAGAGTCCATAATAGTGTCTATTTCACACACGTGCCATAAAGATGAATTTAACCTCTGCATGTAAACCACCTGCAACAGAATCTAGCACGCAGCAAGCACTCGGTGTTCTGTCATTATTGCTGCTGTTCTTTTCAGGCACTGCACTCCCTGCTATTTGAGTCCTAATGATATCCCAAACTATCAAGCACCACCCTGCCTCCACGTCTTACCACAAGCTGGTCTTTACGCCCTAACTGCCTCTCTCTTTAATATTTGCCTGATGAAGTTTCTGAATTCAGGGCCCAGCTCAAACACAAGTACTTCCAAAAAGCCTTCCCTGATCCCCAAATCTGAATCTCTTCTCTCACTGCATTCCCAAAGTACTCTGTTCATTCTTCTCTCATGGATACAATACTATCTGCTCGTCAGTATTTATTTTTATAGGTCTGCATTAATCTGCATTAATAGATTATGGGCTAAATTATTTTGTTCATTGTCTACCTCTGAAATTCCTTAACTATAAGCCAATACTCTTATTCATTAACTATTTCTGTAATACCTAACACTGTTTTACCAATAACATTCAATAAATACAGAGTGATTTGGAAATAAGTCAATAAAAGTCACTACTTTTTTTAAGAATATCCATTCTTTTCATCTAAAATAAAGCAAATGATTACAGTGTTAAAACAATAGTATCATTAAACCCTGGTGCTTGGTAGGCTACAGTAAATAAGATCGCAAAAGAATCAGACACCACTCAGTAAATAAACAATAACAAAAATCCATCCAACCCCAAAATCTAACTCTACTTTTAGGAATACAGAGATGAGCCAGAGGCCTTATTTAAGGAAAATTACCAGCTACCTTTCTAGAGAAAATGACAAAGAATATAAACTTAAGAGTCTGAGGTCCCTTCCTGCCCACTTCTAATCTTCTCACCCAGATACCATTTTTGCTATTGCTAAACAGCAGATTTGAACCCAGATTCTACTGCCCTTCACAAAGCTCTACTGGATAATAAGGTAAACTTTAAGTCTTACCTTCATTATCATAGGAGCCAGCCACAGACCGGGAGATATAGCCAGGAACCACAGCAATCATGGCAGCAGCAAGAAGTCCGGCTCCTGCATCCTGTAAGACAAGAGGGGTAATAGGAAGTCAACACCAATACATCTGTGGGAGAGGAGAGGATCCACTAGTCCAATCTGTTTCTATGGGGCCCAGAGAATAGTCCAACACTTTGCAAGGGAGATGTGATGCTAGGAATGCTTGCAGCACAAGAAAGTTACACACTTCACCACCAATTCCCTCCCTGCCATGTTACCAAGTCTGAAACTGAGTACACATGCGCTAAGAACAGACAAATCATGAAATCAGTCAGATGCTGCCCCAGAATGGGCAGCTGGGTTGGAGTACCCCCAGATTTGAGTGCCCCCCAACAACATCTGCACACCACAGGAACTCCAGTCACATACCTAAAAGCTATGCAAGCATGGACAAAGGAAGACATAAGTATTTGATCTAAAAAGTCAACAGAGGTGATAATCTGCAGTGGACTAAAGATGCCAGCTTAGGTAACAGAGCTGGAATATTCCAAGTCAATCTGTGATCTCGGGAAAGAGGAAAAACAAAATATAACCCACACACCAAAAGAGGAAGGACCTGACTGTTGATAAGAGTCAAATCTTGAACAGGGCAGCAAGGAGAAGGATGAAAGAGCTTTCAAACTAAACTCAAGTTTCCCAAGCCCTCCAACTGGTTTAGCACCTCTCAGGTATATCCCTGACACCACAGCCACAAAGAATAACATCCCAGGGGCCAGGGTCAGCAAGGCAGAAACCTGGGGAAGGCGAGACCATATCACAGACTCTAATTATAAGAGGCAAGTGGTTTCAGAATTTTTAAATAAATGTTTTTTAAAAAATCAACAAATAATTGTTAAGCTAAGTGTCCATTTCCAATAGGAAGAACTAACTGTTTTTGAAACATATCTTGTAGCTATTTTTCTCTCCCTTAGATTGCAAGGGATACTAGCTTCAAAATCTAAATCTCACTTTAAATATTTTTTTCCAGGACTTCCTTGGTGGCCTGGTGGATAAGAATCCACCTGCCAATGCAGCGGACACAGGTTAGATCCCTGGTCCAGGAACACTCAAAGGCTGCAGGGCAAGTAAGCCTGTGCGCTGCCAGCATAGAGCCTGTGCTCTAGGGCAGTCGAGCTGCAACTACTGAAGTCCATGTGCCTACAGCCCAGGCTCTGCATTAAGAGATGCCACCACAAATGAGCAGCCCCCTCTCGCTATCTGCACAAAGCAACGAAGACCCAGTGCAGCCAAAAATAAAGACAGCAAAAAAAAAAAAAAAAAGAGGCAGTCCTGTGATGAATAAACTAACACAAAAACTCTTTTTGTATATACAGCAAACATTCCCTTATATGTACAAACAGTTGTTAATGATAAGACACCACATGCTCTAGGGAGGAACTGGGATGAAACTAGCAATTTGGCTCATTGAAAGCTGTCTTTAGCCCCTAGCTCCCTGCCCTTCTTAAGCTCTCAGTCCCCCACCCTTTAGCATCTACTAGAGACGTTCAACAACATCCATTCCCAAGCCTCCTGTCACCCCAAATCCTTCACCTTGAGCTCTTTGGTAAGGTGGTACGTGACGATGGTGGTGAAGGAAGAGAAGAGAGGGGCCAGGAACACACAGACATTCCGAATGTCGATGGTGATGTGGAAAAAATGGAGGACATGGTAGATTGCAGCAGAGGTGATCATTAAGCCTGCAACAGGAAGAAGAAAGGTCAACAGGTTATCCTCCTAAGACAAAGAACTTAAGGGAAAGAGAAAGGGAAAATCCAAGTTATCAATGAGGTGACAACACGGGGCTCAACAACCCACCAGAAATATTAACAAAGCAGCTGCAGGAGGCCTATAAATTTCCATCCTGTAGATTTGATCAGAAGTCCAAAATCTATGAAAAGCTACCCATCCCCACTCTCTCATACACATTCTCCCTTCTATATATGATCTACATTTAGGAATCTGTAATCAGAATGAAATTACAAGTGTCACAAAACAAAGATATTAGAAATAAAACACTGTTCCATAATACACAAATAAGTTACTGCTGTGAGGAAAAAAAATCCTGTTCCCCTCACCTGGGTAAATTGTTCCTCCAATGATTCGTCCCAAAGGGTACCAGGCCCGGTCATCAAACCAGTTATGGAATTTATAAAACCCCTCCTCAGCCAGGAACCGGGTGGTGCGATAATTAAAGTACCTGTAGCAAGACAGGGAAGAACTGTGTCTGCTCCTCCCCAAACCCAAGTATTTGCCCCAATGTGCAGTGAATTTGGCTCCTCAGGTTACACCAGTGAGGACCTTATCATTACTCCAATCAAAGTCAGTTTGGTACCCAAAAGTATTTGAAGCAGGAAAATCACTTCACATTACCACAAGCCTCCTCATTTGCAGCTCCATGTTTGTCTCAGTTAAAGCACTGCTTCTCTCATAAGGAAATGCAACTGGAGGCTAAGACATTTCACCAGGCTGGCATGTAGTAGGCATCAGCCCCAGTCAGAAGATTCAAGCACTCAAAAGACAGGAGAGCTGAGATGTGGGCACCAATAGATTCGACTCTTTTCAAGTGACAGCAACACACAAAAGAACATTTCCATAACACATGCGAGGACACATGGGTAACTTCAAGTGAGGAGCATCTCTAAAGATGTGGGTGTAACACCAGACGCAGGATGAACATTTTTTAGTCTACTTCATAACACAAATCTCTTAATGAGTATTTAAATTTGTAATCAGATCTACTCATGTTGTTATTTAAAATAGTTCTGAAGAAAAAATAAAAAAATAAAATAGTTCTGAATGCCACCTACATGGTAGCATAAAAATAAAAATTACATAAAAAGTATTTGATACAAAAATGCTTAGAGCTATACACAGAAAAACACAGTTCTTTACGCTCAAGCTATGAAGCCCCTTAAGTTTCTCATTTAAAAAGAAGTAAAAAAGAAAGACAAATAACATATAATGTATATATATAAAATTTATCATATATATAATTTATTTATATATATTACATATATATTAACAAATTTATTACATATAATAAAATATATATATAAACAAATAAGTAAAATGAAAAGAACTGTTTAATCACTAAAGATGATCATGACTAACCATCTTTCCTGTCCACCCCTCTAACCCTATTTCCTCCTTGGTCAGTCAAATTTTAGCAGCTGAAGTGAGTAAAGTAGCAGATGGCATAAATCTCTATCATTGCATTTATTCTGATGAATGATATTTTGGTAACTGTCAGAGAGACAGAAAGGATGGGGGTAGCAGGCAGTCACCAGGTGTCAGAATCATGTCCTTCACCTAACAGTAGGAGAGGCAGAGAGACAGAGGAAGTGCAAGATAGTGGGAAAAGGTCAGGCCTGGGGTCACACTCTGGGCATCAGTTTCCTGCTCTGCAAAAGGAAGTGTCAAATCACATGATCTGTACCATCCCTTCTATCTCTACGACTACAGAGCAGATACTCTTGCTTTCCCTGACCATCTCATCTCAATGTTCACTCATCTAGAGGGTGTGAGAAAAAGCCCTAACATACTGGTGATCAAGAACCAAAAGAATATAAGTTATCTCATTCCTGAGGGAAAAAAATTGATAGTTGTATGCCTCCAAAGTGCTTTCAAATATCTACACAAAACAATATGACAAACTTGCAAACACATGTGGGTATTAAACTTGAATCAATGTTCCATAAACCTAATATTCTATTTTTATGATCTCAATGATGCATCAAGAATCTATGATTCTGGCTCTCTAAATTTTAAATGAAGCCTTAACTTTCAGTAATACAAGTTACTCCAGTGTCTAGAAACAGAGACAAACCTCAATTCAAATCTTGGCTCCTCCATTTACTATACATGTAACATTCACTATACCTGTAACATTTACCATATATGTAACATTTACTATACATGTGACCTTGAATGGCCTCTGCCAGCCTCAGTTACATTTGTAAAAAGGGGACACTAATACCTCCATCTCATAGGGTTACTGTGAGGATTTATAGATAATCTGTACAACAGCTCTTGGAACAGAATGAAGCTCAGTAAATGTCTTTCACCTATGCCTCTTTTTAGCTAATAAAATCCCTAATCAAACTCACAACTTTAAATTTTGCTCAATGTCTTAGAACTTAACTTACAGACCCACCTTACACCATACAAATTGTTAAACAGGAAAAAAGTCATGGATCTCAAGTTCACGACCTCTGATTTTTCTCTTGAACCTCACACACACACCAGGCCCAGTTCCCTTTCCCTTAGCCTGTACCATTAACTGTCGACCCAGCTGAGAAGTCAGACTTCTCTCAGCTTAGCCAGGTCTTAAGCAATAGGCAGGCACACCAGCAAGGCATCTTTCATTTTTTTATAAGTTTGAGAGACCACTTGGTCTCAAATTCCACTGGAAATGTTTCAAAAAGGGGACCATTGTAGAAATGCATAGGAAGTACATCCCCATCACCAAGAGTTCCCTGGAATTTGAATCTGAAACCCCTTAACCTGAATGCTTCTTGAAGGAAATACCAGACCAAGCAAAGGTACTCACGGGTCAAATTCATGGATGACACTTTCAAATCTCAAGACAGCAAAGAGACGAGTGGAGAACGCTGCACAAAACAGGGAATGAATATTTTAATGGCAATATACCATGAAAAACAATAGTAGACAGTAATGTTACACAGCCATTATCCAGCACAGAAGTCACAGGAAATACAAAATAATGACTGAATAAAGTATTTATCCATCCCTCCCACACACAAGAAACAAGGAAGTTCATTTTCCCGTGACAATAATACCCACATTTCCACTCAAGTAGGACATATTTAACTACTTATTATCAAGGCCTATAACAACACATTCACCTACTACTGTTGCACCTAATATACATGGTTATCTTCTACATATGTTGACCTCCCCTTCCCACAACCTTACCTTTGGAGTGAACTAAGAGGTAAGGGAATCTATACTACTTATGACTCATGAAGAGCAATAAAAACCTAAGAAAACAGAATAAGTGCTGGAAAGACTTTCAGAAATACTGAGGCAGGCAACTACAGAAGACAAATATCTTTTACAAAACTCAGTATCCCAGGGTCTCTGGTACCACTTTCAGTTCTAAGAAAAACCAAAATTAACACAGCACGTTTCCCATTCTTTCCCAGATGATCACTAGTCCAAACTTCTATAATCCTTGTTTCTTTTGATTTCACAAAATACTACTAGTTGAGAACAGTAAAAAAAAGAACACATTACAATCTGCTGGGAAAAAAGCAAAGCATTTAAGAAAGCCATTGCTAATTTTTTTTTTCCAAAATTTTCTCCCTTCCATATCCTGAAGAAAGAGAGGTCCACATGCACACTCACATAACACAGCAGCCATCGACAGAATCAGAAGCTTCAGAAGTGTGTCCTGCTTCTCATAGGACAACCGCAAAAATCCCAGCTTGGTCATCTTCACATCAATGGGCAGCAACAGGTGACAGTCAAATAGCTAAAACTGGAAAGCCAAGACCATGAAATATTAAACACCTTCGATTTAGCTAATTCACTTTCATATTTTATGGTGGGAGAGAACCACAGAGAGAGGAAGAAGTGAATACACAGGAGAGGGTCAGGACTAACTAAGACCCAAGCTGAGCCTGAATTATGACCAACAGACAAGGAAGTCGGCCTGTCAGAGCTGTCAGTCAAGGATGAAAAGGAATGATGAGACCCTTATCACCATAATTCTGTTTCTCAGTCTTTGCAGCTACCAAGGAGCAGAACTGGCAATCGTGTAGTACGACAGGAGTAAAGAAGAAACACACGGAAAACAAGAGAGTCGCAGGAAGACAGGCAAAGAGAGAAAACAGCAAAGACTGAAAACAGAGAACAGAATGATTAAATGGAGAAACACAACATTCAAGAAAAGGCAGGAATGTATGAAAGAAAGCAGGGAATGAGCACAGAAGTGAAAGAAGAAGGCTGAGAAGCAGAAGTCATGACTGAATCGGCACCGTTCACAGCCCTAAATTTCAGCTCCAAACTTTCTGGCTACAAGCTTCTTTCTGTTCCAAATCCCAGTGGGGTTGCAGGGTCAACTAGAGAGCATGACTAATCACTGATACAAGTAGTCATGCACTCAGGAGGGGAGTGAGAGGCACACAGATAGATCACTGCACTTTCAATCTCTTATATCACACTTTAACTACTGCTCAAATCTACACCCACTTCCCATCAACTGTCTCAAAGCATCCTGTAACTGACACTGCTGATTTAAGCCATTGATCTGAGAGACAGTTCATAGAACCAGATAACAATCTGGAGGGTAAAGAAAATAAAATTTTCCTACTAAGGCCAAAAAAAAAAAAAAAGATTGGGCTGTGTGTGTGTGGTGAGGGGGGTATTAGATTAAAATAAAAAGTTGAAGGAAGGAAGTAGTCTCCAGACCATTCAGAACGGTGATCACCTGACGGACAATATTGTATCAGCACTCAGTAGGAGCTTAGCTATTTCTGTTTAAAACAGCACTGCCTTCTTAAATCATAAGCTGGTCAAGGGCTAAGTGATAAAGAATATGCAACACTAAAGACTGAGGAAAAAAAATAAAAGGAACCTAGATCCTTCCAGATCTTTTTCCAACTATTACTAGAAGAAAGGAGGGAAAAAAATAACACTGGACTAGGTGGAGGGCATGAAGAATCATATATTCCTAGCTCCAACAGTAAGAACTCAAGCATCTTTTTCCATAATTAACTGTCCCAGAGGAGCAGTTGTACATTTATTTTTAATTACAGTCCCAAAGGAAAACCATACCGTGCGATCAAAAATAAACACCTAACTCTAGGAAGTCCATAACCCAGTTACATCCCTCAAGACTGTACTTGTTTTCTCCAACGCCTGAAACAGGAAAACTTACCACTACTGAGCTGATAGGAGCCACATGCCTGAAGACTAAGCGGATGAAATGAGAGCACTAGAACCTTTCCTTGAAAACTGAGCAAAGAAGCTGGTAATTTAGACCAGGATCTCAAGGGAGTTTCCATACTGTGCTCACTGGTCGTGTTCGCACATCGCTTAACGGCAAAGACACTTTTCTTAAAACACTGGGCATCTGTCCTCCACTTCAACTGTGCCTGCAAAGTGCGGCGTCTTGTCTCACCCTGGTTCTGGTTCCCAATTGCCCACACACTTTCTCACGCCTGTCCCTCCCTCCCCCACTTCTGCCCACTACAGCAGGTCCCTCCCTCCGTCTCCTATCTTCCCAGAACTCAACACCTCCGGCACCACCCAGCGTGGGGCACCCCACCACCTAAGGATCCTAAGCGCCACCCCCTCCAGGACTAGTCGGTGCCAGAGCCCCATCTTTCCCACGCCCACCTGGCCTAAGTGCACGACCCATCCCAGACCCTCACATCCTTCCATTCCCCCCACACCACGTCCCACGCCCCCTCCTCTGCAAGGCCCCAGACTCTGCCTGCGCCCACGACCGCCGCCATTAAAGCCGCACCTCCTGCGCTTCGCTCAGTCCCACCGACGCCTTGGACTGCACCTGCCGCTAGTCCTCAAGTTACATCCCAAGGCCTTCTCACCTGACCGGCGTTCCTCAGGAATCCGCTCGCCTCCCTCTGCCATCTGTTCAACGGTGCACCCAACCCTGGCAGCGCCGGGTCCGCCTCCCGGGCTGCTCCCCATTGGCTAGTTCAGGTACAATCTGACACTTCAAGAGAGCGATAGGGTTCTGGAGCTGTCTGTCAGACTCGGAGGCGTGAACGGAGCCGCGCTCCCACGTTTTAACTGTACAATACAGATATCACTTAGTAGCTGGAAGGCGGGACTTCGTCCAACTGCCCAGCCGTGATAGGCCGGCTCTTGAGAGCCAGAGCGCGGAAAGAACACGCTCGGAGCAGTTTGGTTGAGGGACGAGCAGTGACGTGTCGGTCTGCGGACCGCGAAGCTGTCGCGGGCGGAAAGGGCGGTGCGTTTAGCCCAGTCACGTGACAAGAAGGGGTAACGACGCAAAGGCACAGGCAGAAACTACAGATCCCCCAAAGCTGAACTGAGATCATCCGATTCCGTTTTAGAGAGTCTTGTTTTTTTAAAGGTAGAAATTGACGTTACCTTAATATAAGGTTAAAGGAGAGGTGAGAAGAATTTTTTTTATTTTTTATTTTTTTACTAATTCTCAATGAAAACTCACTCAGGCGCTTCACAATCCAGACTGTTACATCTTGTACAGGATCTTGTCTGACAGTTCGCTGGAGAATCATTTTGACCTTGCTCTGGTAAACTGCGATGGACGGGAGACCTGCAAATACCACGAGGCATTTCTCTTAAGCCCCTGATTCGTGAATGGGCATACCTAGGCTAAAGGGGTCGTGGGGTTTCGGTGGAAGAGTCTACGCGCGGGCTGCGTCCCCCAGGACGGCAGAGGCGGTCCTCCCGTTATAGACAGGCTTCTTCCCGGAACCAGCTTGCAGCCTGGCGGTGCTCTGCTATCCCTTTGTAAGTTACCTGCCAGTGAAAACTGTCCTAACTGGCCCCTCTTACGCCTCATACCCAAAGAGACGTGGCTGAGGGCAGGGAAAGGGGCGAAGTTTCAGCAACCAGTTCCATCACCCCTTAGACACGCACTTCCTCTCCCTAGAGACCTCAGTGAACAAGAGCCACACCAAAGAAAATGGGAGCATCTGGCAACTGTTTAAATCTAGTGCCAGTGTACTCACTTCTCTTTGGCGGTTACAGTGCTATGAATGCAACCGACCAAACTTACCAAAAGCATATTAAATTACTGATTAAAAAAATAATCTAAAAAAATAAATTAGTGCTTCAACATCACGTGTATTTTTTTCAAAATTCACATGGCCAGGTTCACCCCAGGACGTCATGTTCCAATAGATCTGCTTTTTTGTTTTGTCTTTATAATGTATTAAATGTAATTATATTAACAAGGAAACTGAAGCTGAACCTGAAGGAAATGCAGAACTTCAAGTAAATGCTTCTTCAAAATGAGGTTTTTTTTAATGAATTAAAATGAGAAATTCCTCTAAATGAGAAAACATACTGTTTCAAGAACATTAAGATATCGAGATTCTCAATTTTTTAAAATTACTGAACCTGTTTTTTAAAGGAAATATGTTTAAGTTTCCAGGTGGTAAAATTAAGTCAGTTTTTTTTAGAAGTAAAAATATACAACTAAAGAATGAAGTTCAAAATCTAAGTCAAAGAACTTTCATGGTGGTCCAGTGGCTAAGTCTCCACGTTCCCAATGTAAGGGCCTGGGGTTGGATCCCTGGTCAGGAGAATAGATCACATGCTGTAACTAAGAGTTCCAGTGTTACGAGTAAAGATTCTGAAAGCCGCAACTAAGAAATGGCCAAGTCAAATACTTTTTTTAAAACTCTAAGCCTATTTTTAGGATGATTCTTTAATATCATTTGATGGGGAAAGGCTGAACTACAAGTAAAACTCAGGATGGCAGAGTTTGGGGGAAATTATAGTTATTATAGACCCAGAGATTATACGTGAACATTCAGCATATCAGTTAACCCTTCTCCCTCCTGACTTATTGTACCAAAAGCTTTGAGTTGGTTGTTTCAGAAAAATGTTTTACAATCCCATCATTGTTTAGAATAATGCTGTTTTTTAGCTTACTTTGTGAGAGTTGACTTAAATTGAAGAAAGTAGGGAAAACCACTAGACCGTTCAGTTATGACCTAAATCAAATTATTACAGTTATACAGTCAAAGTGACAAATAGATTCAAGGGATTAGATCTGATAGAGTGCCTGAAGAACTATGGATGGAGGTTTGTGACATTGTACAGGAGGTAATGATCAAGACCATCCCCAAGAAAAAGAAATGCAAAAAGGCAAAATGGTTGAGGACACCTTACATATAGCTGTGAAAAGAAGAGAAGCAAAAATCAAAGGAGAAAAGGAAAGATATACCCATCTGAATGCAGACTTCCAAAGAATAGCAAGGAGAGATAAGAAAGCCTTCCTCAGTGATCAGTGCAAAGAAATAGAAGAAAACAATAGGATGGGAAAAACTAGAGATCTCTTCAAGAAAATTAGAGATACAAAGGGAACACTTCATGCAAAGAAGGGCACAATAAAGGACAGAAACGGTATAGACCTAAAAGAAGCAGAAGATATTAAGAAGAGGTGGCAATACACAGAAGAACTATACAAAAAAGATCTCTATGACCCAGATAACTTCAATGGTGTGATCACTCACCTAGAGCCAGACATACTAGAAGCTAAGTCAAGTGGGCCTTAGGAAGCATCACTAGGAACAAAGCTAGTGGAGGTGATGGAATTCCAGTTGAGCTATTTCAAATCCTAAAAGATGATGCTGTGAAAGTGCTGCACTCAATATGCCAGCAAATTTGGAAAACTCAGCAGTGGCCACAGGACTGGAAAAGGTCAACATTCCAATCACAAAGAAAGGCAGTGCCAAAGAATGTTCAAAC